GCCCAAAAACTGTCGCTGGTGGTAAAATTGCCTACTAACTTGTATCGTTTAAAATGGGACAGAGGTACCCGCACTTTTTGTGACCGATTAAAAACTCAACTGGGACAAGGCCATTTCAGTATTATATTGTTGAAAGATTGTCATAAAACAGCAAAGGAATTAAGTTAAAGCACATAACTTTTACAGTATAAGAATATCGATCGAAATATTCATACCATCATAATTATATTAAAATTGCAAAAGTTATAAATGCATTTTTTTCAAATCGGTCACGAAATTTTAGCGCTTACATTTAATGAACAAGTTGTTATAAATAGTTAGATCTATTTACACGCATAAAAAAAAAATAATATTAAATTTTTTCGAGCTGGCTCGAAAGCTTCTTTTTACATTGATTATCTGTTCCGGAACTTTTCCGAAATGAGCATATTCTTCCAGTGAACATTTTTTATTATTATTTGTGGTCGGAACTTGTTCCGGATGTCTGATTATTAAACTGAATATTTTCATCAAGATAAACTACTTATTTATGTAAGGAAGTGCAATTTTTAAATAAATATAGATACACATACAGTATAGATAAGGGTCACTAGGATGGGACAGACTTATGTATGAATGCGTAGTATGTAAATCTGTGCCATCCTCTCGACTCAACTCTGTACATATATTTTAATTACAACAATTCACCATCGAGTTGTTTGTTTGATTTATTTGGTTTTTAAAAATGGAATTTCGATCGAAAATCGTTGTTTGGAAAAATAAATATTTAACATCTGAAACATGAGTCGATATTTTTAGTGACTATAAAAATACGAAACTAACATTTATAAACAGAAAACATCATCGGATATAAATTGAATTGAAAAATAAGATGATTTTTCTTCTGGGGTCGAACGCTGTCAAGATTCTATATAGAAGCAATTTCCACACTATTACTCACGTCTGATGTTTTAAAGTAGTAAAGTTAATGAAGAATACAATGACCATTGGAGTAAGTTTCGATAAAGAGTGTGCACTCAATATTGAGTGCACATTTAGGATGAAATTAAATTATTATTAAAAGTTAAACAAACGGTGTACTAGTTGTTAAAGATTAACGTAAACAATTGTCTTTAAAATTAATACTATCACTTACGATTGTCTAGTTTTATGTTTTAATTTTCGCATGTAAACGATGATAAAAATCCCATTAAAAACAACAATGTTGCTTTTAACACTCATTAGCTATTCCGTGCATGTATGTAGACTTTCAACTAAATATTTATACTATCAAACTCACGCCTATACGAATTATTAATGTACCTACTTACTAGAAAAGACATTAAACAATAATATCGTTAAATAGTTTATCTTCGCGTTAACTATATTCTAGTTTTGATATAAAAAGCTCAGTTGTTATCACAAAAATATTTCCATCACATTTCACCGACATAAGTAATGAAATTTCGTTTACAAACCATTAACTTGCAAAATTTAAAACATAAAATCATAACAAAGACCTTATCGTTCAATAAAAAGATTCAGCATTCCTATGACGTTTTATGTCATTCATGTATAACGCGGTTACCCCGTAGGCTATAATATATCATTACTAGTAGTATCTTGTCTGGTACTGGTCATTCTTATGTAAATACGACTTACATAATATATTGTATAAACTGGTGCACACAAATAAACAAAGAGTGAACAAATTGAAACCTTCAAGAAATGTAATTTATGTTTTATTGCGCGTATTCATATACAGTGGCATGCAAGCTATGAAGTTTTTGTACAATATATGTATGTGTATGCATAAGGCATCATCTATCATATATCTAAATGTATAGTTTGTATGTATAAGTTAAAAAAAAAAGGTTAGATAAAGTTTGAAACGGTTTTAGTTAATATCCTGAATCATAGATGATTAATAATTTCCTTATGGCATATTTTTTACAATAAGGTTTCAAATTAATAACTTTATTGAAATTTGTCTCCTTCCTTTTTAAACTATTATTGGACATTACATTGTTTTTTTTTGTGTAGCACACATAACACTAAGTCTTAACTGCTTACTGTAAAATATGGTCTCATCTTTCTTAGTTAAACGACTAAATAATTATTCTACTCGGGATCAGTTAAAAATTCTATGAAATTAAATTTAATAATTAATTTCAATTTAATAGCTCAATGTAATTGAATAATAAATGAGTATCGTTGCTACTACGATCAACGCGCGCAACGTTAAACCACAACCAATAAAATAAAAAAGTTTATTTTGGGAAAAGATTGCCTGCTGACTTTTGCTGAAAACTATTAACTGTTAATTATATTTTAATTTCAAGTTGGAGTTAACGAAAAGTTGCTTTTTTGGTTTTACGATTTTTTACTGGTCTCAGTAAGTACAAACCATTGCCAAACCCGTCAGTTTATTTGAAACCATCCCTTATTTGTAAAAGGACAATTTTTAATATATATTTTACTAGTCTTAACTTTAAACGGGACCAATTGTATTCGCCTTGGCTTATATAACAATGAGGCTATTGAAAACATTGACATTACACTTTTGTATTTATTTTTTTATCCTTGTATACTTTCTCAATAGATTTTCTCGGAAAGCTTTCGAAATTGCTTAAAGTTGAAGTTATTCTCACACTTTTCATAAAATAAACAAGTTTTCTCTATTTTACTCATACTAAAAAGTTGTAACTTCTTGAAAAAATAACCATTTACACCCCATTTCCTTTCAAAAACGTAAGCTCAAATAACAATGCCTCCAAGTATGAAAATCGAATAGACGATTCATCCTTAGTTGTTTTGTGCGACTATTAAAATACTATAATTCAATTTTTTCAGTCAGATTCCGTGTTAACTCATTTTGAGTAAAATATAATGTTGTACATTATTAAAAAAGTAACACAAAAAAATCCTCTGTTATTATTAAATTATGACAAGAAAATAATAAAGAATCAGATTGAATAATCCATTTTAAATCACGATTTGTACTTATTACTTTTTTTATAAAATCTAAAATATAAATTTCGTTTGCTACCTTCAAACTAAAAAAAAACCTCTCAAAAATTGTTAATAAGTATTTTTTGTAATCAAATAAGGTTATCCTTAGCTTCGTATCCCCTTATCCGTAACGATATTATAATTTTGTTTTGTTTTTATTAAGCTTTTTTTTGCTAAATATTTTTTGTATACCTATAGTATATAGGACACATTACTCTTTGTTCAGAAGATATTACAGTGTGATGAATTTTCTAACAAGTATCTCAAGTCAACGTAGGCGGCTTTGATCCTTTTTGACGATGAGATCTATTTTCATATTACTTATAGGAGGAAAAATGCATAAAATGGCAAATTTAATTTTGCCTTTGTTTTATAACTTTTGGCCTAATTTAATCAAAAGTTTAAAGTTTAATAATTTTGTTGTTCTTCTATTTGCATAGTGTCACTCCTTATCGATCACAGTAACGGGCATATTTAGTTTTAGCTATGACACTTAAGTTCTAGTATAATAAAAGTAAATAACAGTTTATATTCCAAAGATAGTTAAAAATTATATTCGGTAATTACCGAAACAAATTGTGTCAATAGTATTCGATTTTCTGTCGATAACATGTTAATAATACAGGGTGACCAATTTAACGTAAGACACTATTTGTTTTAGAATAATTTCAACTTTGTAGTTTTCTACAGTTGTCCTTTTTAAAGGACATTGGCTTATGTTGTTTTACAATATAAGGCAGTATTAAAACATTTTCCAGACCAATGTCAACTTTTGAAACTTAAATGGTAACGTATATAATATTAAATTAAGAATAATTTGCGGAAAATTTCGGTCTATGACCATATTTAGATAATTACTTTTTAAGTTAATAAAGTTTAAAATTTAGGACGGGAGGTGAAATGTAGTATATTAACGCGCGCAAATAAAAATAATATTAGTTTCCACCCTTCCTCCCGTCTTAAATTTTAAACTTTAATAACTTCAAAGTAAAAAAAAAAACGAAATATCCAAAACTGGTTATCGGCAAGTCAAAATGTTCAGCAAGTTATTCTTCATTTAAAAAAAGTTAATTAAATGAATACGTTACCGTTTAAGTTTCAAAAGTTGATAGAGCTCTGGTAAATATTAAAAAACCAAAGTAAATATTTAATGATTTTATGTAATAGTTTTAAAACCACATCACTAAAAATAGGTATGTATTACAATAATAAAAGTGCAAGTACTTTCCGTGAATAAAAGTGTCTTAATAGGGTGTAGTGAAAAAAGGCAATTTTTGAAATCGTTTTTGTAATACTTTACAAAACTAGCGTCTTGGTGTATATAAACCTAAAGTAAAAGAAAATAATTTTTAAAAAAATATTTCCCCCGCCCCAAGTCAAAAACCAATATTCAGCAAAAGTATTGACATTTTCTATCATAACTCAAAAAGTTTCAAAACTAAAAATAATTAAAAAACTATTATTTTGTAGAAAACTATATTCTGCATATTATACGTGTACATTTTTTTTTTTTAAACGCCAAAAATAAAATTAAAAAACATGCAAAAACAATTTTTTTTTAACTTTGATTTAATTTTTAAAGTGAATAATAAAGTATTTTTGAAAAATTATTTTTTCTTCGCTATACACTATAGTTTATTCCACATCAAAATCAGACTTGAAAAAAACATATATACACATTATATATATCATATTGAAACTTTTTGAGTTATGATAGAAAACGTCAATACTTTTGCTGAATATTGGTTTTTTTTTACTTGAGGGGGGGGGGAATATTTTTTAAAAATTTTTTTTTTTACTTTAGGTTTATATACACCAAGCGGACGCTAGTTTTGTAAGGTGCTACGAAAACGATTTCAAAAATTGCCTTTTTTCACTACAACGTTAAAAATGTCGTGAACACATTTTATCAGACTCTCGGTTATAGTAATAATTATAGTATAAACAGGTACACGTTATTTTTGGCGGGTGTGTGGTTTTTAATTTGCATACAACACCGGCTTTCTTACCTGTAGTCGATTACGGGTCTTCCGGCATGACTTGCTGATCGGTTCGGCAGCGACGACGGGCCAGTGAAAAACCGTTTGTCATTAACGTTCCCGGCGCAATAATAAGCCCACGATCACCGCCGTGTGGCATGCGAGAACCCGGGCGCGCATCGGCTAACGTTTCGACACCGACTCGCTCTGGAAAACTGTCGGCGCGCCGCCGGCCGAAAGTCGAGTAACAACCCCCTTATAACAGCAGAACCCTGTGTACAAAAAAAAAACCACTTCCACCACCGTGCCCGATGACACCGACACGATAAGACGGATGCAGAACGACGACGACATATCAGCAACAATGCTCGAGGAAATGTCAAAAAGAACGAAAAAAATAATAAATAAAAACAATCATCGGTTTGCCCGAGACAGACCGAGGGTCTCGGTATTGTAATAATCAGTGGCGGATTTGATGGGGGGGGGGGTCGCCCCCCCCCCTTAGCCCGAGTTTTGGCCCAAGAAAAAAAGGGGTTGTAATAAATTTCGACCATGTCAATTAATTTACCGGTTAATTTGTATAAGCTTCATGGCATTTATTTTTAATTTTTAATAATTTTGTCTATGAGTAAAAGCCATTTTAGTTAACATAATTGGACCCTTTTTTTGTTCCGTCGCTGAAAACAGATTTGAATTCGTCGTGAAGTTCACTTGAGATCGGTCGGCGTACTTTTTTTTTAAATCAAATTTGGAAAGGGTTAAAATTAAAAATTGAAAAAGTACCCTCACCGATTCTAAGTAAACTTCACGGCGAATTCAAATCTGTTTTCAAATTACTTGTCGGGTTACTGGTACGGCCTGTGCGATGGACATAAAATGATGTGTTTTGACTGAAAAAACGGCCGGTTTCGAATCCTCTTAAATGTAGGTGATATTATTGAAAGATTTGCTAAAGAAAAAAAAAAGATGCATCGATTTTATATTATAAATATCTGAGTATTGTACTTTGCTCAATTCCAATATGTATTTGAATTTAAACAAACTTGTTGTAGCTATTTTCTATGGAAGTTTATTGGGTCAAAATTAAACTGAATTAATAATAATTAATTAAAAAATAACTAATCAAAATATAATTAATACATTGTAACATATTTTGTAGACAATTAATAAAAAGTGAAAAACTAAAAAGGTAGTTTTATTATACCTACAAAAAACGAAAATTCGCCCCCCCCCCCTGGAACAACCCCTGGATCCGACACTGGTAATAATACTTAAGAAAAGTTTTCGCGAGGTATTTTCCCATAAAAAAAAAAAGTATCGAGTAGACAAAAAAAAACAAACATTAAAAGGCAGAATCTTTTTAATGACCAATGTGAGTTTTGGCCGGACAATGCGAGTACGTCATTAAACGACTGCCTCTTTTGAGTGTACGTTCAACATTGTCGGAAATCGTAAACGATTAGAACTTTGAGAGAGATTACAACAAGTCGAAAACACCAACGATTTTTTTTTACAAAAATCTAGAAAGCGGTTTTACTTAGTCGTATTATTTGTATTCATTTCTCACGAGTCAAAGCTGTCGAACTATAACTTAAACAATGGTAACGCCGTTGAAAAAAACCCTTCCCTTTTCACTTTTTTCCCCTATATTTTATAAGGTTAAAGTACCCGGTCCTATACTCACTTCCTAGTGCCCGCTAAATAATTAATTAATTATAGGTAATTGTATATAATATGTACGAAAAAAAAATAGGTTTTCTGAAATCTAAATTCGCGTTTTGTTCAATATGATAATCATATCTTATCTATATTATTATAACAATAATATATTATAATGTGTACTCATATTGTCCATACCAGAATTTGTAACTTTAAACTTAAAAATGTAAAGGAACGATATCGTTTGACTTTATTGACATATTCAAATTTTTTCATACATGACTATTACTAAAAATAATTAATAACATACGTTGTATCATCAACTTATACCTATAATAATGATAGTACATTAATTTAAAATATAAGACCTCAAATACGGTGTTCGCATTTCGTGAAACACATACGGCCGTTCCATACGCAGGTGTACAAATGGTTTTTGGAAATATAATATATCCCAGAATAATTTTATGAGCCGGAAAATCTTGACACATTAAAATGGTCCAATAAACGTACAAAAATAAAATTCTCATAATAAACCTTAAAATAACAACTACACAAAAACCATTTCATTTTATTGTCCACCTTATAGTTTATTTATGTATGTACTATATTGTGTCTTTTATACCGAGGTTAAATATATGTAAACATCAATTTTATGCCGAAACGTCTATAAACATATATTATTAACTATGCCATTATTTCAGAAATGTTTAACTTGAAAAACTATTTGTTCATCTTACCATACTTTTAGCAATATTATTGAAACTTCATATATTTACAATAATAATTGTCAACTTAGGCCTCCGATGCGGTGCTGAGATGAAAATTTGCTGAGGTGCAAAAGACAATAATTTGTTTTCTTATGAACTTTTGACATACTCGAATAGAATATCCATCAATTCGAAATCGTATGCAGCAATTGGTACTTTGATTCTTTTATTTTCGGACTAAATATAAAATAAATAAGCATTTAATTGATTACTGCTTGATACGGGGACTGTGCTTGGTTTTTAATTTGTATTCTATCTCCTTTAATTTATTAACGTGTTTATCTCGGTAGGCTTGATCCGTTTTAATATTATTAATATAACAGTATAATATTTAATAATATAACAATAATAACAAACGGGTATTATATAATTAACAGTAAATCCAGTTACTAATGAATAGGCATTTAGTCGATATTGATAAAATTAGACGTTAATTATATTAGTTAGTGAACAATGTAAACGTATTAGTATAATGTACATTCTAAATATAACCGTCGAATTCGTACAAGTTTAATGCTCATAAAGAGTAAAAAATACAAAACTACTAAATACTTTAAACCCCCTTCGTAAAAAAAGAAACCAGACGCAATTATTTTTTGTAAAACATAAACGAACTAAAAAAGGAATGTTTGCCAAATAATTAACAAACACCAAATTAGTTAATGCGTGTATACCGTGTATGTTATTCAATAACATGAAAACGATTCGAATTGTTTTTGGTAAATTCTTTCGGATCGGTTTAATCCGCATAAAAAGTTTCTAGTTAACTAACGCTAAAACGCGATAAATAAAAGAATAAGCAACCTTAAACAAACACTTATAGCAAATATCACAAATAACTTATAAACGTTTCTAAATCGTATGTATAATATTGAATGATATTTATAAAATATATTATGTAACATACAACTTATAACCTGTAACAATATGCAAGTTGTCAGTATATTTTAATGGCCTATTGACTTGCTACTAGTTAAAACTACACAATTTGCAATTTTCTTGTATGAACTTAAGTCGGAAATTGGGTCGAATTTCATACGGGCATTACATTGTTGTATATTATTATTATATAATATATTATGCACACTATATCTATATGTACACTGTAATGTTCTAGGTATATTAACTTTCTGTATACATATACAACATGCACTGGTCTTGCATATACAATGCGCCGTTTTCAAATAAGTTATCGATTACAAAATATAATATTTCAACAAGTTTAATTTTGTGGCTATAACGCGATCTACATAGTAAATGCACATCTTTATTTTTATTTATTCAAAAAAATGTACCTACATTCGTACTAACAAAATGTAGTTCAAATGCCTTTTTTTTTTACTTACTTTTTTTGCTTCTACGAGATCATGTGCTTATGTTAAACATTAAATTACATGATATTTATGTAGAAATATGATATAGTAATGTAATATTATATGTATATAGGTACAAAATAGTGGATATACTGTCTATTTTGTACAGGATCTAAATTGTATTTGGATTAAAAGATAGCATGATTAATCTTACAAGTATTTTGTATTAATAAAGACACGCGCTGTATTTTTCTCCATATTTTATTACTAAAATGTATTCGAACGAGGGTTTGAATGGGAAAATGTACAATGCCAATTGCGATTTAGGGAATATTTTAAATAACGTGACATCGAAAGAGATCTCTACATTTGGTATGTTGTTTTTCCGGACCGGATTACATTTTATCGATAAATTTTATAATTATTCAAAAAAGTCTTCGTACCAGGAAATGTATTATTCTTTTCAATCCGTAACAAAAAAATAAAAACAAGATTTATCGCTGTGGCTTGTAAAAAAAAACTATAATTCTCCTCTCCAACCGTACTTTATTTCTATATAAAACATTTAAACTGTAGTTTAGGAAGCGAATCAACCCGATTGCCGTCACTAGCCACAAATACCCTTTTCCAAGTATTTCCTACCTAATGATTGATGAACTGCCCCCGCGCTATTTCGCTTGCATAAGACTTTTCACACTAAACAGTTAACACCATAAAGTTTTGATAACCTGTTAAAACATTCAAACCGCCCCCTTCATGTTCGGTGTACAATTGACCAACACTCGAGCACCGCAGAGTTAAAGGTGTGGAGCTAAATTAATAACTGAAAACGTGACTATTGACTCGGGATTACATTCATTAAATATTTGTGACAGTGTTTTATCCAAATATTCAAAATCTCTTGAGAATATTTTGCATTTCACCTGTATGATGTATCATCTGCTACGCCTAAAAGATATTTTTGAAGTTTAAAGTCCTACATTAGAAACACTATGACAGAATTAAATATTTTATAATTTTTTCTATTTATTACTAAAGTGTATAATTATAAATTAGTTAATACTGTTGTTGATACAAATTACTACGGCTGTAATCTGTATGTATATAAATAAAAAATGTTTAAATGTCACTACTATATAGTTGGAATAATTATTAAATTTTGTTTTAGCAAAACATTTAACCCTTTTAGTTAAGGTTAGTAATGAGTTGTGTTGAAAAAATATAACTATATTTTGTATTATTTATATAACAAAATAAAAATATATTATAATGTTCATTAAATAGACCTAAGTAGAGTCTTAAGTTAGGGGAGGGCTAAAAATAAAATAAGTACTACTGTCTGTGTATTAGTATTTATTTCAAAAAGTGATAACTGAACAAAAAAATGTACAAAATCCAAAAACATTCGATTTTTTTGAATTTCTTTATTTTTTTATTCAGTATTGATTTTAGAAACACGTTTAAATTATTAATTAACGATGCATTTTTTCATGACTTAAAAATAGTACCAAATATCACTATTACTTATTATAATAATATTTTTATGTTCACTGTACTTTTGATGCTGTAAAAAGTTATGTCATGACTGTGATCGGTAACCAAAATTATTTTAACATTGATTATTATGTATAAAATTAATACAAAATAATTTATAAATGTCAATAATAATTATTTTAATAATATATTACTTTATATTATTTTATTATATTATACTTTTATGCTATGTTAATTTATTGAAAATTAAAACGCTGTCAATTACATAATCACTAATCAGATGAATTTAATTTAAAAAAAAAAGAAAGTACCTAATTTGGGTTATAATTATTTCTTACTTATACAATTTTAATAAAAATTGGAACAAAGAAATCAAAACTAGGGATTTATCTGACCCAGTTAACTTATTTAGAGCTGTAGACAGAAGATTGATCACTTTAAAATTAAAATGTTTTAGGACGATTTAAAGGATTTTTTTTCTGTAAAAAACATATGTTTGCTTTGACCGCACAAAGACCAAAACTACAAAGAAATACTTCAATCAGCGTCAAAAATGTGTATTGTGTTTTCGCCTTTATTTTAATAGGGTGTCATTCTTTCGCATATCACTATAAATATAAAATAATACATGTATAATATTTGTTAACGTTTTACTATAGAAATTTACCATCTTAGAAATATTTGAAAGAATAGGGAGATCATTACACTTTATTGACCATTATAATTATGTTACCAACTAAAATGACTAGTCGTTAAAGAGGCTCTTTAAAGAAATCAGACAGAACAAAAACCTTTTGAAAAGTTGCTTACAGAAACAAAAAACAACATCAATGTAAACCCAATGTCTTCTTGTGCTTTGTGTCGAAGCTAAAAGAAAACTGCTGAATGGAGAAATATATCTTTTACACATATAGTAGGATTCTTTAACGGATCTACCTAGAAAATAGGTACCCAAACAAATTTTCTAGTTAAACTGTAACTCGCATTATGGGTATTAATGGCGTCTATTTGTTTATTTAAATATCAAAATAAATAATAAAATAACCATGAATGGTGTATACAACATTATGCAAGTACAGATAATTAAAATTTATAAAATAGCATCCCCCTCCTCGTGGACAATAAAAACCGACTACACGATGTATGTAGATAGGTATTTCATTTGAAAATTTTGTAGTTTATTGTTATACACGTTCAATTGGTAAGATTTTACTTATTACTTACACTTAGACAGTAATTTGTAAACAATAACGTTGCGTTAACAGCCATTGTCACGCAAATATTGTCATAAGTAAACTTGTCTTATAGTAAAACATAGAATATAGGTTACAGACAAAATATATACATATATTACTCCCATTTTATTTTTGCTAGTTTTCAAAATAAAACTAATTACTTGTTTAATAAGCATTCAATTTCTCAAACCAAAAAACCTCAAAACAAAGTCAGACTTCTTACCTGGATTGATTTAAAAAGTACATTCTATCACCTATCATTTATTCAACATCGAAAATCTACGCACATACATAAACATTTTAAACACACATTAGTTGTCTGCAAAACGAAAGTGTAAAATTATTACATTAAGTAGTATTAGTAAAAAAAAATACCAAACAAAAGATTTTACAGTTGTATACTTTTATTATATTTAATTTCATATAACCAAAATATCCACTTTTTTATCCATTATTTTAAATAATCGTATAGCTGTTATTTATGACATTAAATTAATTAAATCTCATTTAATATTTTTTTAATAACCATAAAAGAATTATATACCAATAATGCATACTGAATACTCTTATGTCAAAAAGATAAAATGTATTAAATTAAAAAAAAAACAATCATTATAAACTACAATAATAACAAATCAAGTTCAAAAAATAAACTATGTAATAAGCAATTGAAAAAAAAAAAGAAAATTTGATAATCATGTATTTTAGACTAGATACAAAAATCGGACGTATTTAAAAATTTGGGTTATATAAAAATAAATATTTTGATCTTTTACAAATCCAATCATAATAGGTAACAAATATTTGAGTCTAATTATTGTCTCCATTTTAAATATAATAAAACCCGATAATTATGGCATAAACTATAGTTAGTTTTCGTATAACACTAAAATTTAAAACATAAGTACTTAAAACTACACACACGAGTACTCCGAAATTATTATATTATATTGTGAACACACATAAAAATATATTAATAAACAAACGAAAAAATATAATCAAAAAACAAATAAAAATTTAACTTTAAATTGTAAGTTTTAAAGGACTTAAAAATCAAAAGAGAAACCAAAAAACAAATACAATAAAAACAAAATCGATATAAAGCAATTTTTTCATGTTCTTTTTTTTCCAATTTGGAATGTAAAAAAAATGCTCAGTACAAAAATAACTGGGTTTTACATAATTACATGTAAATTATAAAACAATTTATAACAATTATAACATTTCAAAAATTCAAAAGAATAATTTTTTTTTTTAAGTAATGAAAAATAAATTTAAAAGTTTATAGAAGAATAATCAAGTTATCAATGATTAAATTAAAGATATGTGTAAATGTTGTACGTATAAGTCCTGGGGAAATAATAAAAGTTGAACAGTATTGTGAGAATGCTTTTTGAATAGTTATTTGTAGACGTGCAACTGTTATTTACGGCCAAACTTTAGTAAATAGGTCCATAAACGAGTCATAAATCATAAATGTAATTCCCACATCCAAGCAAACTCTACTCAGTCGAGGTACGGTTCCTTTGTAAAATCTGAAAGAAAAGATCCATTACATAAAATTTCAACTTGTAAGTTGTTAATTTCTTTATTATTTTTTTTTTTTAATATTAACAAATTATTCATCATAATATACACTTTAAATAATAATTAGCATTTGATTTGAAAATAAATTGAACTTAAGTTTACGCTTTTATATTTAATTAATCAGCCATGACTTACGCTGTAGGGCCTTCGTTTTTCCATATTTTAACCATACAATCAAGAGTGCTTTTATATTTCTTCGCTTCCAGTCCTTGCATACGAGTTTTAACAACATCTAATGGTGTATTACCATATACACTAGCGGCACCGGCAGCCATACCAAAAACTCCAACCAACAGTTTCGGAACAGGTTTGTTGGGATCGTCACCTTTATAGAGGTTTTTCAATGCGCCCATTACATAAAACCTAATTGCTTGATTTGAACCTTGTTTCAATATAGTTGGCATGAGTCCCTGATAAACACCACTAATACCTGAAAGAGCAATTAATAATTAACACTTTCCATGCGTAATTTATTTAATTTAATAGAACCTATTATTATTAATTTTTAATATTATTTTTATATTAATTTTATTATTTAGAATTCAACAGACCTTGCTCTTTGATAATAATACTGGTACCATGGAAAAAACCTTTGAACCTAGGTTTCTCGAGTCGTTGATCATTAATGAATTTCACTTTTACGGTTTCCATCGGGGTGACAGCTAATATGGCTTCCGAGATGCCTGCACCAAGACCACACAATATTCTTTGTGTAGCCGTTAACTCTCCACCTCCACTGTTTATTTTGGTACTCAGAAATTCAAATGCTCCAAATCTAAGGCAAAAAAAAAAAAATTGATAGCATTCTAAAACATTGAATATAATATCATTGTAAATACCCTACCTGACTGCAGATTTAGGTATAGATCCGTAGAGTAAAACACTCAGGCCTCGATATAGACCAAAAACTCCATGTCCTTTAATTGTTTTTTTTACACAATCTCCGATTCCGTTATATTTTCTGGCACCAACTTTTTCATCAAGTTGCAGTTGGGTCTTTACATATTCTGTAGGGTATGTAATACATATCTCTATACCACCAGTAATTCCACCTGAAAATAAAAACACAAATGTAAAATAATATAATTTATAACATATAAATGACATAATTGTAACATTATATAATTTATGAGGACGCTACAGTTAGGTATTAATAATTTTTTCCTAAATCTTGATTTTATGCTAAAACTAGTGTGTATCGATACATACAGCATTGAATATTCTTAATTGATAGAGGGCTTAATAAAACATTTTTTTAAATATTCTACCTTAAACAAAGTACACTTAGAATATTTCTGATGGTAGTATGTTGGCAGATTTTTAATAAATTGAAGAATTTTTAACATTTTATGAATAAAAACCTACTTTTTATATATTTAAAAAAAACTATAATTTATTTACTAGATACAATTTAGAAAATCTACCAAAGAACAATCCTAAGAAACATTATTTTTTTAAGATTTGATAACAGGTGTTTACTCTAAAACTACCAAGTCTATAAAAATTAGAAACCGATCAGTGTTTCCGTGTATTTTCATACAAAGGTAGATGTGTAATGCCCTCTTAAGGTGGATCCACATTATAGAACAAATTTGGTCCGAAAAACTATTTACGGGTCTTCAGTTGCCTTCCCTAGCATTTGCTTCTGTAGCTATAAGTATGAATATTCGTTATCAATTACTTTAAACGTAAATGTTCAGTCTATAGTGTGGACTCTGATCTAAAAAAAAATTGTAACTGTCTAAAAAAATAATAATACTATTATAACTACAAATTGAGTATAATACTTATAAATTATTTATTATTACTGTGATTTAGGATCGTAGTAAATGTAGCAAAAATATTTAAATAAAATACATTTTTGTTCTACAACATTTTTTTGAGTTAAGGTCAGTAACAAGTAATGATATTTGTATAAATTAAACGAATATTGAAACAAATTTCAAGGTCAAAAAGTGTACTTTACTAATGAGCAATGACCTTTGCAAGAACTGACATATTAGTATATTAACAACTACAAATATAAAATCCTTATCTTATAGTGAAAGGTTTTACATAAAATTTATAACGCGAAACAAAATAGATAGGTTTTAATTATAATACAATAAGGTAGGTACCAGACATCAAAAATTTAGTTACTATTTTTTTGTTTCACAAACTATTAACACATAATATTATTTAACCTCATCGTAAAAACCCCTTAGGGCAGCAAAAAAATTAATATAATGCCTTTACCGCTATGACACAATTATAGAATACAAAATGTGCATACAATATACTTTTATTTAATATTAAGTATAAGCAAAAAAATGTAATCAAATTTCATCAGGATAATTGCTTCAATGTATTTTAATCTAATGTTTAATATGTTCAATTTCTAATGTAATAGCTAACATCCACACTTTAAACTATAAATTTATTTACATAATACGGATATTAATAAATAAGGTTTACTAGACGTTTATTCACAATATGAATTTAAATACCTATTTAAAAATATTTTGCTGATAATATCTACTTAATTTACTTGGTAAAAAAAATATGAGTACAGTAAAAATTAAAGATAATATTAGAATAATTGGACAAACAATAAAAAATGTTATAAGATGATAAAATAATTACAAATAGTATTATTACTTTATTTATAAAAATATTTAAAGGAATGTTAAGTTAATGTAGACTATAATTTAACATTAATTAGGTATTAACTTTATGTTAATGACCTATTGAACATTTATAATAAATATTTAATTAGTGACTAATTTAAATCCAACTGTAATGTACACGGTCATTCATCTGCAAAATTATCCAAAAGGGAGAATGATCTTTTTGATTTTTTTTCGGTTAACAAAATTGTGTTTAGCCATATTAATTAGATAATTTGGTTCTACAACAGTTAAATATACATGTTTCATTGATTATTGTTGAATTATACGGCAGTTAAATCAAATTTAAAAAAATTAATCTTATTATAGTATTTGTTCTTCAAGGCCATCACATAAATATAATAATTATGTTTAAGAAGTTGATAAAAAATGAAAGTGAAAATTGTTTATACATGTTAAACAAGTAGGATAATTCTTTTTAGATAACGAACCAGTTGTGAGCTGGAACATTTGATACTTATGTATAAAACCTGTTTTGCTGGTTTCAGTTATGATGAAAATTAGTTAGTAAAACACTGGTAGCATTAAAAGTTTGATACAGATTATTCTATCAATAAAGAAATTATTTTATAATTTATAAAATGTACATTAGGGATCCCATACGTTCCATATTATATGGTATTGTCCAATATTCCCATAAAGTTGTGGGGCGATATTCAATATTGATCATGGTGGAAACGTATAAAAATGATTAGTCATTAAAAGTTTTAAAAAAATGTTCCGTATTTTTGAAAATTAAATCAGGGATCCCTAATGTATAGTTTATAAAAAAAATACTATACTCGTACCTTCCCAAAGCAATACATGAACAACACCTATGGGTAACTCACTTAAGAATGAACAAATATCACTAACCATAAAATATTGTTAACATTAACAATAACAACATTACTTACCGGCAACAATTCCCTTTAGTCCCTTGTTGGATCCAGCCGGTGCAGCAGCTCCATACGATGTCATCCACGGTCGATAGAACGGACTAACAAAAATTTGTTTTCTGTCCATTATGGTATAACACAATAATATTATATTATAAGTATTAAACTAAATATAAATATATAATATGTTTAAAACTGAAGGTAAGTTATTCTTTACTATTAATTTTTTTTTTTAAATAAAAATAGCATGAACTGTTCAAATAGTGATTTTTTTGCGAACTAAAACGTTCACAAGCATAATATTTCCGTCGTCGACCGGTCACAACTACAGCGACCAACTGACATAACAGTTTACACACATAACGTCGTTGTTACGAAATACTACAGCAGTAGTGACTTGTGACTACCGAGTGCTTTTTTGTGTATATTTCATCGTATCGTAGTACTCGTTATAGTCGTTACACACTGTACTCTGTAGTAAAATAACCTCAGCGGAATTTCTTATCTGACGATTGACCGACACGATGAACGATAACAGAACAGCTGCGAATGGCCGCGGTCGCTTTCAAGGTCACGTCAAGAACACAATACACAAATACAGTATATTCAGCGACGCTAATTATTTGACAATATACCTATTATGCCCGAGTCTACTAAACGAGTTTTTTTTAATACCGACATTGTAATAGGTATTAAAGCCGCTTGATTTTTTTGTTCGTGGGTAGGGTAAACCGGTTGTATTAATAATTAACATTCAAAAATGAAATCGCGTAAAAACCATTTGTTTTTCATGTGCAGTGTGGTCTGTGTGCACTCGACATCGGATGACCTTCCTAAACTACAACAATTATTACACACTAATGTTATTCACAGTCTGCTATAAAGACCAAAGAGCCTATATTATTTAGGTTATGTCATTTATTCATAGGTAATATCAAATAGCATCGACATCGTAGGTACATAATATAAAGGTTACCAGGTTACCTTACCACAAGCGTACGTAACCTATCCTATGTATTGGGCCTTCCTCTAGGTTTCCCGTTCCCCAAATGGATTATGTCTTTTGTATAAGATACCTTTCAGAATCAACTAGAATTCCCGTTTAGGTGTTTTAAATTGGGAGTTCTCTACTTTTCTACTTATTTGTTTGGTTAATATTGGGATGTAAAAATCATAATTATTTTTTTCTATTATTCTAAAATATATAACAATAATGTAACTGTTTATTTATACATTTTTTTAAAATAGGACCTTACCTAACAAAGGCAAGAATTTTTTTTAAACAATGAAAAATACAAATACAAAAGCATTGTAAACACGACAACAAGTTGTGCAAAAATAGACTTGAATGGTCTGGTAAACATGTACCATCAGCAAATTCTCTACGATGACAAATGCTTTAATGATGATTGTGTCACATTCAGGAGACAATGTAATTATCAAATACACAAAGAATATATATATTTTTTTATATTTAACTTATTTATCTATTAAAATTAAAATTAATTATTTTAGAGAAGAACTTGTAAAACCACTAACTTCAAGATTTAATTGAAGATCAATACTACTTAAAAAAGTTTATAAATATAAGTCTCAGGAATTTCGAGGCAATTGCTATAATATATGTGGACGCATAGATTTACATTTACCCGAAAACATGCATTGTACCTAATAAACCAATCAAAAAATTAATAATGTTAAAAAAATTGCACCAATAAGTCTTAAAAAATCTGTTACATAACAAAAAAATACAACAAATTCATATGTATATATTTTTATTTTTTGTAAAGGAAATAAAATCAGAACAATCATTTAGATAAGTTATTCCAACATACAATTTCAATACAAGTAGTTACCATAGAACCCAAAGCATCAGACTTTATTGATTTAATTGAAGATGGTGATGATGACCAAGTTGATAACAAAGACGATAATGATTAAACATAATTAATTTTTTGCTCTTTTGGGTTGGGGTTCTGTTGATTGGTCACTCAAACTATGAGTTTTTGACTGTAGTTCAGTAGTATCTGCATTTGATGATAACACACTAAAATTTGGTATTTCAGGCTTAACTAGTTTTAATACAATTCTTTCGTGTTGAACATTGCTGCTATCAAGACTTAACTGAACACTAACGGGATCAAATGTTCGGAAAACTACATCTCCACATCTTTGAGTTTGTTCCTATATAAAATAAAAAATAGAATAGGCGTCTATTATTGTTTTCATAAAATGTATTATATATTATACACCATACCTCTTCGTTGTAAACAAACGTTACTGTTTGAACTTGTCCTTTGCGAGGGGCCAAAAAAAGAGTACCTTCTAAACCATACTTGGGTATAAGTATTTGTAAAGCATTTTTCCGGACATATAATATGTAACCTTCTTCATCTCTGATTTTACCCCGAAAGAAAATCTGTTAAAAATGGTAAAGTTGTATAAAAATACATTATAAGAAAACATAATAAGTCCTAAGATTATTACGTGTGTATTTAATGCAACAGAAGCACGTTCGGCATATGCTGACATTCGGGTTCGAACATTTAAATTCTGACAAACCGCTTCAATTTTTTTCTTATCAAGTAATTCAGGCGTGGTTGTTTCTGCTGCAATAGAAACAGCTAACAATCTATGAACAAGTATATCCGCATATCTAGGGGAAAATAAATAAGTAAAATTTTGGTTATTTGAATTAACTTTTTAATTGATGAATAAACAGATTAACTATTATTTCATATTTGCAGACCTTCTGATAGGGGATGTAAAATGTGTATAAATTGGGGCAGCCAACCCGTAATGTAAAAATTCATCAAATGTCTTTGTACCACTGGTAAAGTAAACGGCTTGCAACATACATCTAGTGGCAAGAATACGCAACATGGTGTTGAAAAATGGGTTATCTGTTTGTACAGCCATATCCAAAGAGTTGGCCAAATCTTTGCTAGTGTCAACATTTAGTTCTACTCCCTGAAATACATTAACAATTAGATATGTGTACTTAAATAATTTTAATTTAGATAATTTGTTTTCGAACCAAATAATTTGCCGCTTTAATTAACGATTCGAAATTCGAAGGTGGAGGCTTTGGGTGACGTCTTAAAACAGCAAATTCTGGAAAATCTTCATAAATTTTTTTAGCTACTTCTACATTAGCTAACAACATAAATTCTTCAACCATTGAATTAGTTTCTTTAATTTGTTTGATTTCAACATCTAACGGATCTCTTGTCTCACTGTCTACAAGGAATCGAATTTCTGGAGATGCCAATACTAAAGCTCTGAAATTGATTTTATTTCAAAACATATTAGAGTCTAATAATAACAATAATTACCAAATACAAAACATTTAAAATCAGTCATACCCAGCATCTAGACGCCTTTTCTTTAATATTTTAGCAAATTTATTGAGTTGTCTTAAAGCTTTAGCGATTGAATTATCTTGTTGCTGATCATCGATAATTAGCTGTGCTTGTTCATAAGTCATGGCGGCTTTAGATTTTATTACACTCTTAGTAAAACTACTTTTAACAATTTCTGCTTCTAAAGTCATTTCCCAGACACAAGAAAATGCTAAACGTTCTTCACCGCCACGTAACGAACATAAATTTGAACTTAATAGTTCTGAAAATTGTTTGATTAGCGAGTTTGATTTTATAATTTAAACTTAATATTTCAAGTACTTGCCTGGTACCATGTCAATACGACGACCCGTTAAGTATACAGTAGTAGCTCGTTGGCTAGCCTCAAGATCTATGGCTGTTCCGGGTTTGATGAAATGTGTTACATCAGCAATATGTACACCTACTTCAAAATTGCCATTTTCCAAAGGTTTACAGTGTAATGCGTCATCAATGTCAGTACAACCTGGAGGATCCACAGAACAAATATCCAAATCGCGAAAGTCTTTTCTATATGCCAAATCCTAAAATATATTATTATTTATTGTCTTTGGAAATAAATCTATGAAAAAGGTTAGAAACTATTTAAACATTGTTTTGTTGCTTAGTATTTTACACATTTAATAAAATACATTTTCATTAAATATTTTCTTAATATAATATCATATAAAGTTGTTTATTCATAAAAAAAATATAATTTATTATTGATAAAATGGATGAAATAAAAATTAATTCTACATTGAATAATGGGTTACATAGCCCAGGGATCGAAGAATATTCCAACAACAATCCAACCAAAATTCTCAAACAATTAAAATATTTAGTACATTTTATTAAATTTGGAGATAATACACAAAAATGTATAAAAACAACAAATGAAAAGTAAGCTCCATAATTATTATAACAATAGGTATTGAACAATTTAAGAGTATTTTCAACAGAATAAACGAATCGGAATTTAAAAAAATGGCTGAAGAAATAGTTAAAAACCGGAATCGTATAGCCCAAATGAAAGTTGAAGATAATATTATAAATGAATTAATTGAAAATATACATGTTATAGCAAATGATTTACAGACCGAGTTTGATAAAGAACGTGAGTTAAGTTAATTCTAAAAATCATTAGCTAAGCACTTAATATTATATTAAATTTGGGGAGGAAGAAACCAAGATAGTGTCACTTAAAAAACTTATGATGTATTATGGTGTCAACCGATTTATCAAACCTATTTAAGATAATATTTACCAAACTATTTGTAAGTTGAATTTCAATTATACATGAACTAACAATTATCATGTACTAACAAAATGGCAAACTTAAGCGTCAGAATTTTATTCAAAATGTAAAAATGTATAACTAAAAGTAATTAAAATTACCATAAATTATTAAAAAATGTTTATGTTATTAGAATTGCAGCCAACGGATATTATTGATATATGTGATAAGGCTATTTCCCTGAAACTATCGAATATAAAGAATTCTAAAAATATAAATTGCGTAGAAGAATTTGTCAAGTTAACCAAGGTTATTAATAATTGCAATTGTATATATAAATACAAAATAAAGATTTTATTGCACATGTAAATTTTGTTCTCAGATTAGATTACTGGATTTAGCAAGAATAGAAGATGAAGTAAACCAAGTTTTAAATAAATCGACAACAAAAAATAAAATAACTAAACCTACTGGAGTCAAAACAACTAGAACAAAACACTTGACATTGTCAATTGGGGGCGATTCTGTTTCTTCACCGGGTATTCCTAACAGAAATGAACGTGAAAAAAATAACTGTTTAGCTGTTAAAGCTCGTTTGGAACGTATCAGAGAGTTTACGATCAATACAAATGATGAAGACACAGCAGATACACCTACATTAAGATCACGCACTAGAACACCTCACAATTTTTTCACTCGCTCTAATACTGAAATAAATGGAAGGTTAGTTTATAATGTAGAAACTCAAAAGTATAAATCAACAACTAAGATACACCTAACAAATTTATAGGTCGAGATTGAATGATGATTTTTTGAGCCGTGATGGAATATTTGGTGCAGACGACTACTTATTTGAATTTTCTAGTCCAAACAATAGTACTTTGCATCAAGATAGAGATTTTGAAGATGACAATAGCGGAGATACACATATATCGTTGGCACCGTTTAATAACTGGTCAATAGATAATAACAGTAATGAGTAGTTGAACAATAATTTGTAATACATTTATTACCTTAATGTACATTATTATAAAATTTACGTAAAAGGATGTAATAAAATAATGTTAAGAAACTACTTACTGCATCAGTTATTGACCAAGGTACTTTTGGTAAACATGCCAAAACTTGATCAGAAAATTTACTATGAGGAACATCGTGTTCCAATAAAATTACTTCATTTTCTGCATCTCTCTCTCCAATTTTTCCTAAAGATCTGACAAAATGACCCTACAATAAAAAAATGTAGAAGAAAAAAATAATTATCCTGTAAAAAAAAAATAATTAGATGTTTAATTTTTACTAGTGGATATCTTGAGGTTCTAGGCCATGAATCAATAGCTACGATTACCCGCTGGTCTTTTAATTTCTCATACTGTCTCGTTTCTATCCTAATTTTCGGGATTTTCTTTTCTGCTGGCACAAATAAATGACGAGTTGCCTAAAACATTTAAGTTGAACATCAGACAACAACTTTTAAAAAATTATAATGAACTAGAATTTTCATCACATTTTCCACTAGACTATGTTGAATGATTCCACAGTATTGACGCCACTTTTTACGAATAATTCCAATTATTTGACCAGTTGGAAATATCTCTTTTGGTTTTTCCGTTTTATTCAAATCAGTTTCATTGTTTTCAAGATCATCTAGTTTTGAATTTTTTTTTTATTAATCCTAGTTTATAGTTTTTTTTTTTGCAATAAATGAATATTACCATAATCTTCAATAACTAAATTTGCAGGAGCACTCCATTGACTTTCAGGTAATAACTGAATTGCAACAATATCACCGTTTATAGCACGGTTTAGATTTTCTCTTCCTTGAACCAATATCTAAAAAAAAATTAGTAATTTGCATGCTGTCAACAAGCTAATTGCAAAACAAAAATAGTATTAAGTATTGATGCCAGAGTTCAACACTGTAAGAAAAATATTTTATACTCAGTTGTTACGCTTAACAATTATTTTATTGTTATGCAGTAGTAACTTGTCCCTATGTACGATGGTGCGACTTCTTTCTCTACAGAAAATATATATATATATATGTATTTAATAATTTAAATCATATTATATACATGTATATTATAAGAATAAAAGTTATTTTTTCACTACAAATGTTCAACTGTTTTTACTGCTCAACGAAGTAAAGGAGTTTTATTTAGTTAGTTTAAATACAGTGCCGAACTCAGTACACACTGCCGAATATCACTCCGAAGTCTGAGTGATATGTATAATAAAATCAGTTTTATACAAATATCATTTGATTGGCAGAAGCGGCTGTAGCAACAGGAATAGGCAACATCAATTGCTGTTGCACTGTACAAGCCCAAAAAACATGTCTTCATTAGAAATGTTCTAAACATGTCTTATGTAGAACAGTATGTTTGTCTTTGCCACGACAAAAAAAGTAATATATTTTGTTTTTTGCCTTTAAAAGGACTATATATGAGTTAGTAATGATGATAACTAGAATGTTTTGTTTATCATCTGAAAAATATTAGTTTTTGTCATAACAGACAAAAATATACTAGTATTTGTAGCAAAACTTTTAGTTTTTTTTGCGAGGCTAATAAAACATGCTATGTTTTATGGGCTTATAAATTTATACAATATAAAAACTTTAAATTTTCAGACAAGCATAAGATAAGCTAAGTACAAAATATGTGTAGTTTAGTGTAATTAACAAATTATAAGCACTAATATACTTAGAATCAATACATTTTTTTCATATCCTTCCACAAATACGTTTCCTTCAAGGAAGTTATCACTCGATGCAAAAAATGTTCCCTGCATTAAATTTCCGGATCGAATTCCTTGGTGTATTTGAGCCGGAGTCATGTGTGCTGGAAATATTGGTTCTTTACTAGACTCTTCAACCATACAGCTCCTATTTGAGAGTTTGTCAGCTAATATAATATTATTTAATCCTTCAATATACTCTTCCACTGCAAAATAAAATTGCAATTATAGTTACAAGTTTGTTTATTAAATAAATAGAGTATTGCCATAATTTTGTCTTACAGGACATTGTCGGTATTCCCTCTTCAATTGCTTTAGCTTTGCTAGCTGCATCGCTAGATAACAATAATACTTTAATTTTACCACCTAAATGTTTATTATACCATTGTGTAGCTACCCTTATCATACGATCATTGTAGTCATTAGGGCTTTCTCCTCGAATACGCTCAACATATGTATCACTAGAATTATACAATATACATTATGTTTATTATTAAAACATTTAATAATGAAACTATCATGTTGGATTTATTTATACATACTTATGATGTACATTAACAAAAACATAAAAACATCTCGAATAATTTCCCATTATATCCAAAAGTCGTTTATATACACTATGACTAAGATGTTTTACTTCTTCAAGAACTGTTTGCAAAATGATAACATTCTTCAAAGAATCATCTTCTAAAGCATCAATCTACAATAAATAATTACATTTAAGTTATAAACCTGTATTTATATATTTTATTTATGTAAAATACAGATACATTAAACATAATTACTAATCGTTTTATTAAATATGAAAGATATACATACTTGATGTAAGACCACATTTGTATCCACTAATAAATAATGTATATCTTTGAAAACCGTATTGCTATTTTGAGGATTATTTTGAAGGGGTGGATCGTAGTTGAACTTGCATTTTTTGCAAAGCTGTGATCCACAGCCAATATCATCTCTAAGATAGTGCTCTCGAACAATCTAAGTACAAATCAAATATGAGAAAGTTCATTAAAATGGTAAGATATTTGTTTTTTTTCAAACAAATATCAACATGTTTTTCTATTTTCTTTTATTATTGAGAAATTAATCGTGAATTATTGCATTTTAAAAGGGTTCCCGCACCAAATGAATCATGCGTTCAAAACCATAATGTTTAATAACAACAATATGTCCTTATACTAACATATTGTTATACGGTTATAAATAAGAAACATAAGTATCATTTACAACATAGTTAGTAAATAGTTGAACTATACTTATTTTACTTACTTTTAGTATATTACCGCGTTTGGTCTTGCGTATAAATGTTTTAGTCGTTACTCTCATGGTTACTGTATTTAAATATTAACACTGTAGATAATTTAATTTTAATAATATTTATGAGAATTAAATAATAAAATATTAATAATCAAGTAAATATAGTCAAAAATTCAAATCAAATTCACAAGTCAATTCAAAATAATGAACAGTTCATACTTCATAGCCCCACAAGTCACAAGTCTGTGTTCACAACACTGAACACACGTGCAAAATTGATAAAACATAAAAAACCGGTTATCAGGTATCCTTTATCAATAGTTTCGTAAAACGGCTATTCCGTAGAAATATAAATTCTTATCAACCTGATAAAGGATAAACTGATAATATAATAATAAGTGAAACACAATTTTCAAATTTCTTTTTTGCTCTTACCCTATTAATTCAGTTAGTTAAGACTTAAGTTTAACTTTAATCTATTACTATTTTTCATTTCAATATATCATACAATTTTAATTTGTTGAAAAAATAGGTAAGTTAGTGCCATGTAACTATTTAATAAAGTACTCATAGGTGAAACTAGATTTTTTTATTAGATCAGGCTAAATTATTAGCACTATAGACTATATTAGCGCTTTGGAGTAACCTCCCAAATATTTTCTTAAGTTACTACAAAAAGAAAAAATGTTTTTCTTAATTTAATGGAAGTATAAAGTGTTATTTTATAGGCAGACTATAAAATTTAAGTCTAATTGTATCAATATGCCTGAGTAATCCTGTCAAGCTTTAAATACAACCAAGATCAGTGATGTATAAGTTGTGTCATATTAATCATCAATGAAATCAACTCAAATCCATGTGTTAATATGTAAACAAATTGTTTATATAGAATTACATATTAAGTATTTAAAAATTCTATACTAATATTTACTTTTTTTTTAGCAGCAATTACTTATACCAAATTTGAGCGAATGTTTTATTATTATTTTTAAATTGTATTAGGATTATTTCTTTTGATTGTTAAGCCTAGAAAGTGGTGTGTTTGGCTGGGTTAAAGTAAATGCTAAATGTCACTCATCTATACAGTAATTATAATCATCAATGGATATTGTGGAAAATATGGAAATTACTAATGACCTCTAATTCATAGCAGCATGTGTATGGGTAAAATTAAGGTTTAGGTTTTGCCCGGGTCTGAGTTTTCCATATGGAAATACTTATTTTTAAGTGGTTTTTGTAATTTTGTTATATATTTAGGTATTCTGGTTAGATATTGATCTTTTACTAGTTACAATAAAATTAAACAAGTATATTGCTTTAATACTGATTTCTTTAAAAGATTTAAATAATTATATTTTATTTTACTAATTAGTCAAAACAAATTTCTAAAATTACCATTGATTGTAATTTTAGTAGCACTTAGTAATTAATATTACCTAATAATTATTATTTATAACTTTAAATATTAAACAAGCTGTCCCGACCCGGCGTTGCCCGTGTATTAGAATAGACACACAATCAGCTGATCGGATTACTGTATCCCCGTGGTATGAAAAACCATAGAGATGTATTGATAACTATTGATACTATTAATAATCATAATTAATTAAAAACTAAAAACATGTTCTGTTGGATCAAATTGTGAATCTAAACCTTTCTCGAATAAACTTAATCGCGCACACAAGATTTCATACAAATCTGTCCAGCCGTTTAGAAGGAGTTTGCATAATTACACACGGACAGAAGAAATATATATATATATATATATAAAATTACAAATTAAAACATGTTTATTTATCAATAATTCTTATCTGTGTATAAAAAATGTATATTTATAGTTCAATTAAGTATTCAATTTCAGCAGTTTGTTATATCTTTAGTTGACCCTAAATGTTTGTTAACTGTAGCTCATAGTGCAAATATGTAACAGGTTAATAAGCTTTTTTTTTTCATTATTTTTTAAATATTTGAATACTGGGTGATCTATTATTTATACAACTACTTAAATTAATTTTATAAATTATAAATTATTATTATACAATTTAATAAATTCATTATATTATTTGTACAACTATATTCTTTTTTTTCAAAGACTTTTTTAATGAGTATATAAAAATGAATCACCCAGTATTATTACTTTATCTCAGAAGCCATGTATACTAATATTTTACTCTTACATTTTTGCTTTGTTGTATAGAAATAAATAAATGTCAGTGATATTAGCAAATGTGTGGAAGTATAATAATTTATTATATTCTTGGAGATTTGTTACTAAAAAACCACTACCAAATTGCAGAACAATTATGTCTTCAGATAGAAAAAGAAATGGAAAAACTGTTACTGACGATAAAGGTAAAATAATTTATTTATAGTACAATAATAATTATAAATTATTTTTTATAATGAAATAATGTGCAAGTACCATTAAATTGTATAAATTGTCATACTAAACAACATTTTAAAATAAAGATTCTTAATAAAAAAATATATTTAATATGTTGTAATTAGGTAATATATATCTATTTAATAGTGTTTACCGTTTGGCATATGAAAAACATTAAACATTGGTTAACTCATAGGTGATGTCTTAAAGAATGCGCTACTATTTTTACTGTCTTGTATTCGTTTCTCGGTCTATAGTCTTCATATTAATTCAAATTCTACTCTGAATTTTGTTATATTTTAGGTGTGCTAAAAATTACAATTGGTGATGTAAAAAAACTAACTAAATCGTCAAAAACTCCAGAACTAGTTCCAGTTGAATACTGTAAGTAAATACTTATTATACTAATGGCTAATATTAAAGTAAATTAGGTGTTCAAAATATGTTAAAATATGTTCAAAATAAGTATAATACTACATTTCTTTATATTGTCCATCATACCTTGTTCAATAATTGTTGTCAAAATTATTTTTACTCATTATGCTATATATGTCTAAATTCGTAATTCCTATGAAATCAAGTACTTATGTTTAGTGAATTTGACTTGTAACCAAGAAGCTATGGCACATTTACGATGGATGCTTCAAAAAGACATACTTGGGCAAGATATGTTTTTGATTGGTAAACCAGGTCCTCAAAGACGTCGTTTGGCTATGGCTTATTTAGAGCTTACAAATAAACCTGTAGAATTTGTGTCACTGTCTCAAGATACTACAGAAGCCGATTTAAAACAACGTAGAGAAATTGTCGAAGGAACTGCTAAATATATCAACCAGGTAAAGTGATTGATATAGTACTAGTATATAAATATTTAAATTTTAAATCTTTAACTTATAGTTTGTTATGTTCATTTTACTTTTTAGAGTGCTGTTAATGCCGCAATCGAAGGTCGTGTATTAATCTTAGATGGAATTGAAAAAGCCGAACGTAATGTTTTACCCATTTTAAATAATTTGCTAGAAAATCGAGAAATTCATTTAGAAGATGGTAGATTTTTAGTAGCACCTAAAACATATGACAAACTACTACAAGTAAGAAATTATTATTTTATTTTGATATGGGTAGAAGACTTATTGTTTGTTTATTTTTTTAGGAACATGGACTAGAACATATGATGAAATGGAATTTAGTACGTGTCAGTGAAGAATTTTTTGTTATAGCTTTAGGTCTTCCGGTTCCTACATTTAGCGGTATTCCATTAGATCCACCATTAAGATCTCGATTTCAAGCTCGAAATATAATGACACCTTCTTATTCGGTAATCAACATTTTTTTAATTTTAAACAAGTAACTTTTAATACGTAAGGTTTTTTTAAAAATATTTTACAGTTGACATTTTTTCATAATATGCCACACAACATTTTAATTTAGTGTGCAAATAATGACATTATAGAATTTTTATTTTCTATACATTTTATAATTAAAATACTGTGAATACTAAAATTGCTTAAGAAATTGTACACCTTTACTAAAATTACAAACAAAAAAATTAATTAATATGAATGAATATAAATCATATAAATTCAACTTATATACATATTATTAAGTAATAAAAATACTAGATTACCTACAAAGTACAAATATAGAAAATACTTCAAGTATAAATGTATATTGAAACTGCGTTCATTGCTGCTTGATGATCCTGGATAAGTGACCACCCCCTTCTCCTTGGATTAAAGCAGCAGAGCATGACATGTGTTCTAAGGAACGTGTCAAATAAACACCCCAACAAATAACCTTTAACTTACAAACATACTAATTACCAATTACAGCCATAGATGTCGAGGCTTTAAAAAAAAAAAATCAAAGTTTCCAGTCGAGTGAAAAGGTTGAGATTAATTTAACATAACCTTAAATTTTTATATTTTATTAATACTAATATTATGTACATAAAATAGCTATAACTATCTAGACATTAAAAAGGAAAAAATTATAATATATACTACAGATGTTCATTAAAAAAAAAAAAAAAAAGTATTGTATTAAAAACTAAATTTTTATTAGTCATTAATACAGCAAATATAAAAGTTATAATTTAAAGACAAATTTCAAACAAATATTAAACACCCAATTTAGTAAAAACATACTTGTAATTTAAATATAATCGCTATCTATTATTTTTTCATTACTTGTACATGTAGGAGGCAGATGAACATGTAACTCGGTTTTGTGATTTTTTTTTAACTTTCGTCCAGCGCTCAATGATCTCTTCTTGGATTGAACAACTTGTTGTTCATTTAGTTTGTCTTCTGGTATCAAACAAGTTTTCATTAGAGCTGGACGCCTAGCACAAATGTCCGGTGCGGTCATTGGTTTTTGGAAACTGTCTATCATTCCTGAAGGTGTCTGCAACCATCGTAGGACACGTTCTACGTATGTGTGATCGTTGCCATCGCACTCGTGTATATGTTCATCGGTGTTGACCGTGCTAAACTGTTGGCTTGCTTTTACGGTCCTGTAACGAGGCCGGTTCTCTTTTTCGATGAATAGATCATCATCGTCGGATAAAATAACGTGTCGCACTCCTTTCACCCACGTTGTACGGACGACTAGTCGACCACGAGACGATTTCCACCGAATGCATTCATAAGGATCAGCGCTTTTCATTTCCACTCGATTATGACAATTTCCGTCAAACGTCGTGTGACTGAAACATGCACTGCGCGGCATCTAAATTTGAAATCGCTTTACGTTAAATATATATAACACAACCCCTCACGAACCCAATGACATTCAGACATGCACGCCATGCCATCTCCCCTAAACCGTTCCATGCGTTTTTTTTTTTTATTCTTTTACAATGTATCATTGTCGTCAACGTCGTCCTTAATGTGACAGTGTCATTATGGTTTACAAAAACGAAGGTTTACCAATGGCAGTGTTTACCGCCACGGGTATGAATAAAAAAATCTGACTCTCCGTGACGCTATAAATGCAGAAATCGTGTATAACAAAATAATAACAACCCATTAACGTTTTACGGTTCGTTCCAAAAAACAATGCATAGCTGCTTTAAAAAAAAAAAAAATAATAAAATTATTGTAATTTAATCATTTTTTTATTTTTTTTTGTAAGTAACAAAACGACCATCGCGCAATGCCTAAAAATAAAACTAATTTTACCGAGCCTAAAAAATAAACTTTTATGTTCCCCGTCCTCACTTTCTAATTTATTGTTGTTGGTAATTATTAAATTTATTTAAATAGGTTAAGACATAAAATAATAATATGTTTTTAAATTAACCTTAACTACAAATAATAATACATTTTACCGTTGATGATGATAGAACCGAAATAAGCGTACAATAGGTGTACTTTATTTTTTGTGGTTAAGGTTTATTTCAAATATTTTATATCTTAACTTTATAATATAACCACAATTGTTGCTTAAGTTTTTTCTAGATTTAAATAGGTATTTGAATTTGTATGTTTGGTACATGTTTAAATCAAACTTTGGACCATCAGTTTTTAACCAATATTAGGTTCTTTATTTAGTTATTACCCAAATCCCAATACTTATTTTTTTTCTTTACCTTCGTCCCATCTAGGTATTTAAGGACGGCCACCCTTATCCTAACCTTCCATTTTTGATAGACTTGCTATAAACAAAAATCGGTTTAGCAGTTTAGAAGATATCGTGGGTCAAAGCCATAGATATATAAACACACTAAATAGCGGACAACATAGTTTACGAATTGCTTATTCTTAAAAAAAAAATGTTATTTCCGTGAATCTTCATACTTTTAAAATTCTTGTTTTCTTACGAAACACCATTCTGGGTTTCTCCATTTATTATTTATAAATATTTAAAAATACACTATGTACCGAAATAAATTAGTCTTATGTACCAATATGGAATTCTATGTATTAATATTATTGTTCTAGTAATGTTTTTCCTTAAAAACATCGTATTATTTAAATGGGTTTACTAGTATTAAAATGTAAATTCCGTGTATTTGATATGTAACTCGTAATAAACGCCCGATGTAGGTCAATAAAAAAATACTCGATATGTTTCGAGACAAAAACCTATCAAACTCCAAAAAGCAATTCTTTTTTTTTCGTGGGTTGATTTGGTTTTGGTTAAACGTTTTACAACTTTAGATCATTAAACTAAAAAAAACTTGCGTCGTTGGAAATGCATGTTTCTTAGCTGTTAAACTAATGATGTCAATAAAATCCCCTCGAACGAAACATTTCAATCAACCCCAACTCGAAACCATCACTTATTTTATCGCCTTTAATAAACTCTGTAATGCCTATAGCGTGACTAAACGTATTATTCAGACATTTTGTTTGTTCGGTACCTACCCGAAAACTTTGCGCGATAACTTCACAGTATTAATTTACCGTTAATGACTTTTCGAAATGATTACTATAATTTCATTTATTTTCCATTTAGACCATGTTGAACGATTTGAAGGCCGAATATCCTATGGTACCCGAAAACAAACTGGAACAAGTGTTGTCTTGCGCATATGCATTGGCCTCTCCAGAATCCAGCGATCTTGGGCTGCATTATTTTCCAATAGAAAACATACCCGTCGCTGTTAAATTAATCGTGAGTAGTGGACACGTTGGGTAGACCATATTTTTCAGAGATTTTTACGGCTTATTCCCATCCATTTAACTAAAAAATCAAGTATATAGTTAAATAATACTAAAATTATAGGCTAACCGCTGAGTTATTCTTAAAATTTAAGCCAAACTGGTGAGAATGGCCATAGGTTTCCTACTATTTCATATTTTATACCTAACCAGTTTGTATGTTCTAGTGTAATAATCCTTCAGTAGCAGCCGACAGCGTACTGAAACGGCTTTACCCGTATGAAAGCTTTATGAACGCTGATGGAAAACGTGCTGTTAATAATATTATGTCGACATTTTGCCCGGAAGAAAACGAACCTATCAAACGTCATGTTTCCTCAGTCAGCCAACCAGATGACAACAAAGTTGAAATTGTATTTAATAACTCTGCAAGTTTTTCTGTGAGTATATTCTCTCTGTGCATGATAGCACTAAAATATAAACCGCAGTCCAGTTTAGATATTATGACAGACCAATATGTTTTTAAATAATTCATGGGACATTTGTATATGCCTAGGCTCCTTGCGGATCTATGTTAACAAATACAGCTATTGATCAACACCTCATAAAAACTAATTATCAAGATGTTGTTTTGTCCGATCTTGCACTAAGTCATTCCGCAAATGACATTTGTATAGTTGGGCCTAGAGGTTGTGGTAAAACTGCTATTGTCAACCAATTTGCCGCTATATTAAATTATGATGTCGAGACAATTTCACTATATCAGGTTAGACAGCAAAGTTGTATTTTAATTTCAATATTTGAGATAAATTGTACATGCAAAATCTCAATAAAAGAAAAATTTGAATAATTAATTTGAATTATTTTTATATCTAGGATCTAACTTCTAGAGACTTGATTCAACAAAGAACTACATTGCCCAACGGTGATACAGTTTGGAAATACAGTCCGTTAGTGGTAGCAGCTATTGAAGGAAAGCTCGCAGTTCTTGATGGACTCCATAGATTGCATTCTTCTACATTATCGATTTTACATAGGTCAATATTGAATTACATTTTTCTTGATTATAGTTGTTATTCATAACATTAAAATAATATTACCTATGATTTTGTTTTAAGATTAATTCAAGATCGCGACCTTCAACTGCACGATGGAACTAGATTATTGAAGTCAGATAGATATGATAAACTAGCTAATAAATTAGGATCGAGTGTTTTAGAAAAGGCAAACATTCTTCGGGTTCATCCTGCTTTCAGGATCATAGCTCTTGCAGAACCACCTGGTACAAAAGTGTAGCAAACATGGTATATACATTTAGAGTTACTGTTTAAATGATTTCATCGTTGTAGGCGGTACTATTCCTCAATGGATTACACCAGAAGTTCTTAATATGTTTTTATTCCACGAGCTCAGACCGTTATCTGCTGTCGAAGAACTTAGTATTGTACAACATCTTGTAAGGTTTAGTTAGCTTAATTTTAATAGTTCATTCATTGAAGATTTTATTTATTTTAGTATCCAAATAGCACACAACCTATGAAGAGTTTAGTGTCTGTAACAAAGAAACTTAGAGAATCGACAGATGCATACTTAAATTCATTGGCACCTTCATTGTCTACACGTCAGTTGTTACGCATTGCAAAAAGGCTAAACAAATATTCTGATTCTGATTTTTATAGTATAGTCAACAAAGCTTGTTTGTCTCAGTAATGATAACATATAATTATTTTGCTTATTATAAGCGTTAAAAATGGTAAAACAAAGTTCATATTTTTAGATTTTTACCACAACTAACCAAACAAGTGCTTGAAAATACTTTGTACTCATGCGGTATAAAACCTCAGTCTATCAAACAAGATGATTCCTTGATTCAATGTAAATATGATGATGACTCTTTGACCATTGGACAAACTACTGTCTTACGATATAAGACTAATGCTTCAAGCAAAGTTCCTAATGTTTTATTTTATGATTTACCTCAGGTATTTAAAAAAAAAAAAATGATACAATATATTTTAAGATGTAAGGCTATTATAATTTCTTTATTATTTATATTTACAGCATTTAAGGCAACTAGAACTTATGTTGCAAGATTTTATTTTGGGAGAACATCTGTTATTGGTAGGTAATCAAGGTGTTGGTAAAAATAAATTGGTAGATCGTTTTTTACAACTATTGAATCGGCCTAGGGAGTATATTCAACTTCATAGGCAAGTATATTGATTTATATTTTTATCATGCTTACATGATGTATAGTATTTAATAATTGTAACATACATTGTTATTTTAGAGACACCTCTGTTCAATCATTAACAAGTCAGCAAACAGTAGTTGACGGATTACTGCAAATCGAAGATTCACCTTTAGTAAAAGCTGTAAAGGCTGGCTACGTTTTAGTGATTGATGAAGCTGACAAAGCACCAGCTCATGTAACTTGCGTACTAAAAAACCTTGTAGAAACTGGAAACATGAGGCTTGCTGATGGTAGACTAATTGTTAGTGGTGTTAACAATGTGTCCAAAGATGATACTGTGATCAATCTTCACCCCGATTTTAGAATGATAGTTTTAGCTAACAGACCGGGATTTCCATTTTTAGGCAACAATTTATTTAGTACATTAGGTATAATAATTGTAAAAATTGAGACAAAACAAATGTTTTTAGCTACAATATTTACTTTTTAGGAGATGTATTTAGTTGTCATGTTGTGGACAATCCTAGTCGTGAATCTGAAACTCAGTTGCTAAAGAGCTATGGCCCTAATGTTGCTGAAGAAGTTATTGATCAAATCATTGCAGCTTTTGGAGATTTAAGACAGCTATTCGATAAAAATCTAGTATCTTATCCATACTCGACTCGAGAAGCAGTCAATATTGTCAAACACCTGCAAACATACCCTCAAGATTCTTTGATAGATTCTATTAGAAATGTATTTGACTTTGATAGTTACTCAAAAGAAGCCCAAGAAGTAATCACAAATGTTCTTAACAAACATAAAATGCCAATAAAATTATCTCCATGGTCTGGTTCAAAACGTAAGTTTATCGGCTTGCAGATAAATTATGTAGAATAATGTTTTATAATGTATTTTATCCATTGGGTTTTTAGAAAATCAAAATCTACAAATCACAGTTGAAAAAGAAAGTGGCCTGGATGTGTCAAGTCCAAAACACGGGAAAGTGGATGAAAAGAACGAACCTCATGTTGGAGGCAATACATGGGCAGGAGGTACTGGTGGTCGAGATACAGCCGGGTTGGGTGGAAAAGGAGGTCCTTACAGACTTGATGCCAAGCATAAGGTCTTCCAGGTACTAAATTAAAACTACCCGGTCTAACTACTTCTACAGACTACCAAATTTTTTTATGAAATTTTATTTTATATACGTGTTTTGTTTAAACACATTTTTAAGAGGATAATAGCCATAATTTTAGTTGTGTAAAACTAGCTATTTCCACAGTTCCATACAAAACAAACTTCAAAGAAATGGTCAAAATATTCATAAGACTTGTAATTTAAAGTTTAAGCATAATTAGTTGTATGGTTTAGGTATAATTCAAATATAACCGATTCGAAAAAAAGTGCAAAACATTAAAATTGACAGCCTGTGATTGAATTGTAAACCGTTCAGGCTAAACAAACTGGAATTGGTTATTATGCCAGACGTTGCCATTATATACAATATACAGTTTTAATTTTTTTTTCTTCAATTTTGCGTAACCTCTCATATTATAAATGTATATTGTTTTTTTTAATTCCCTTGACATTTAAAAATTATATTACTACTATACAAGAAAAAAAACACAGTTAATTAATGATCAGTGATAATAAATTTAAAAAAAAAGTATTAAATATCTTTGAAAACAGATATTATAATAATCTGTAAAAAAAAAAAATGATCACCTACAAAGACGCCTAATTACCGTATTAATAAAGTGCCCATTATTTTCAAATTAAAATTTAGATAAAGTTTGCCCTACAGTATTCCTTAAGAAATCAACAAATTTGACAAGTGTCCTCTTATAAAAAATTATTATATGTTTTATATGGAGTACAAGTTTAAATAAATATTAGGTGAGCGAAGAAGAAAAAAATGCTGTTCCTGAACACGTCAAGAAAGCGGCGAGGGAAATGGGTCAAAAGGCATATAAAGAGCGTTTAAAGCAAATAGAAATGTCTGAATACGATGACAAAGTGTACAATGAATATTCTCACCCTGTACAAAAACAAGTAATTATGACTTATTTTTAGGAAAATACTTAATGTAATACAATAATTTTAAATTGTTTTTTTTTTTAAGGTACAAGCCTTAAGAGTCATATTGAACTCATTACAAGCTAAGTCTCAGGAAAGACAATGGGTGAGACATCAAACAACTGGTGAACTTGATGACACTAAATTAATTGAAGGTAATCAATTATGGAGTATATTTTTATAAAATCATTTAGGATATATTAAGATAAAATTATTATACTCGTTTATGTAATTTTAAAAATAAATTCAAGGTGTTATTGGAGAAAAGTCAATTTATCGTAAACGCAGTAATTTGGATCCTCAAATCGGAGCCCCTCAGTTAAAGCCAAAACGTTTACGTTTTATTGTTGATGTATCAGGTAGCATGTACAGGTTTAATAGCTACGATGGACGTTTAGACCGTGAACTCGAAGCAGTCGTAATGGTAATGGAAGCCCTTAGTGGATTCGAAGACAAAATATCTTACGATATTGTTGGCCATTCTGGTGAAACCGAGTGTCTTAAATTTGTCGATAAATCTAATCCACCTACTGACAATAAAAGGCGACTTGAAGTTATTAAAAAAATGCATGCTCACACTCAATTTTGTTTGTCTGGTGATAATACTCTTCAATCAGTTGTGTATGCACAGAAAACATTGGAAGCAGAAAGTAAAGAATATGACGAAGCTATTATTGTATTACTGTCTGATGCTAATTTAGCACGTTACAATATACGCCCTGAGAAATTAACAGCCGCATTAACTCTCAGTTCAGATGTACAATCATTTGCAATTTTTATCGGATCTCTTGGCGATCAAGCAGATATGTAAGTTTATTCAATTGCAATGTCGGACTACACAATGACATAATACATTTAATTTGTGTTACAGATTAAATAGGAGTCTGCCTGCCGGTAAGAGTTTTGTGTGTATGGATCTCAAACACATACCTCAAATTATTCAACAAATATTTATGTCTTCCATTATGAATGTACTTTAAAATACCTATCAAAGTATATAAAACAATATTTTATTTTATTTTATTTTAATAATGTACAATATATTTTATAAACATGACACTATTATGTGTACTTAGTTACAAATTGTATAGATTTTGGTTAATGGTTACCATTTTATGTTTGTTGATTAATAATAAAGATTAATTTTGTTGTAATTACTAATATTAAGTACATTTTATAATACTTAAAAAGTTTATAAATAGTATATCAATGTAACAGGATACAGTTGTATCCTATCAAAATATTCTAGGTATAAAAATGTAAAACAAAACTTCACTCACTTAGTTTTGGTGATATTGATGCTCAGTGACGTATTAAAATGAGACGTTAAGGCACGCTCCCCAAAAAAATATTTTCGTTTAACATCATAATAAATTTTAAATTTGAATTGTATACCCATCATGAAAGTCATGACTCATTAAGAGGACGTTACACCTAATTTTCCAGTGTTAAAACATACTTACGGGGCAATCCACGCCAAGTGTTTCCATCTAAATATTCAAAAGTTGAACTTTTTTAATGTTCGCCCGTTTTTTTTTAAATTTTTACACAAAAGAAAAGTGGTCGCTTAGGATTCAAGAACAACTAGTTTCTTAGCATTTATTCTGTACTTTACAATTAGATTTAGATAACTTAAATGATTGGTGTTATTTAAATGGTTTGTGCTTCATTGAAGCACAACAAATGCAAAATATTATCATTTAATATTAAAAAATCTCATGTTCATTTTGATTATAAATTTAACAATGTTTCTATTGAATTAGTAGATTCATTTACCAACTTAGGAACTACGTTTGATTCTAAACTATGTTTTAATGAACACATTGATAGAATAACCAATAAAGCGTTTCAAAATCTTGGTTTAATTACACGAACTTGTACAAATTTTAATAATTTTAATGCCATTAAAAATATTTATTTTGCATTTGTCAGATCCCGATTAGAATATGCATCCCTTATTTAGTCTTCTAATACCATAGGGGTAAATCATAATCTCGAAGCTGTTCAGAATCGTTTTCTTCGTTTTTTAGCTTTTAAAGTCGAAAGACTTTAAATCGTTAAATCGAAATCGTTAAATACAAGAAGAAGTACCTAACCTTCAATTTTCATTTTTATTAAAACTATTAAATAACTTTATAGATTGCCCTTATTTACTGGAACGATTAAATTTTCGAATTAATACCAAATCCACCAGAAATCGAGATAGTTTTTTAATCAATAATGTTTCTAAAGCATACTCAAAATCATCACCTACGAATATACTGATGACTATAGGAAACACTATGGATATTAATTTTAGTTAATAATTAATTATGGCTGTAAATTGTATACCACATAATATGTACTTGTTATATATTTAATTAAATGTGAATTTTATATTATTCGTACCAAATTTTATTGTATCTGTATCACTACCCAATTTTATATATATATCTATATATATTGTTTTGTAAATGGAGTTTTTCCGTTAATAAAGATAATAGTAATAATAATAATAAAAATATATGAAATTACGTCACCATTTTTACCCCCAAAACATAAATTTGAAAAATATTTTTGAAATTTTTGGCTCATGCCATTTTGATAGTTTTGAAAAGTGGTTAGATTGAATCCTCGACTTTTTTTTTATATAAAATATATGTCAATTTTAGAAAGGGATGGAAATTATAACTGAGTGGTAAGATGGCTTGATGAACGTCGGAAACCCCCGCTGATCTAAGACAGTGTGCATCACAGAGGTGTATATAGAATTTTCTTGAGGGGGATATAAAATATATTTTTTTCCCTAAAGCATTATATAGACTATTAAAGTTTTTTGGAGTAAGTTACCCCAAAATTATTTATAGTCCCCCCCAAAAATTTGTGAAATGCTCTGAATGCTATGATGTGACTTATATCACTGATCACCTAAGTCCTAACCGATAATGCGGGATCTATTCGGTTTATACCTAATATTACAAAAAAAAAAAAAAAGGCCAAGGGAGGGGATCTAAATATATTACAACCTATAATATCGAAAATAGTGACAAAGCAATTGGGTCGAATTTAGATCTCAAATACTTGGGTCGAAAATAGTGACCAAGTGACAAGTACGTGATTCAAAATTAGACCCAAAGTACTCTATAGGCTATAGTAATTTTGTTGGGATAGCACCACTTTTCCCAAATTGCATGCGTTACTATCAAGGACCATTTTTTCCATTGTGCACTTGTTTCCAATGACAAGTTTCTTTCTTATCAGATCTTTTTAACTTCAATTTAAAAACCTGTAACCTCCTCCTAGATAATATAGCTTGCAAACCTAGTATATTTTTGGTTTACCGGAGCGAGTGCCCAACACCCGGTGACCTGCCGTCTTTATCAGTTTGAATTCTGCCCACTGATAAAAACTCGTGATAGATATTGGCAATTTATGCAATTTGGGAAAAGTGGTAGCAACCCGCCTTGTTAATTTGTCATGATGGAAATATCAGTTATGTATAGGGCGCGCGCTCTATTGGTAAACTGGTTACTTGCAGAATTGTACAGTGAGTGCTACCACCTGATCGTAATTTTTTTCGTTTTGGAAAAAATAATAATAATGATCCTTTATCTATTCCCCACGTTTTTCTTTTTGTTTCCGAAGAGACAATTTTGATGTACCTGACGATACTGTAGCAAGTGGTAGTTGCAGACAGCGGTTAGTGATTATTTTTTGTCTAAATATTTGTATACACGAGATTATTACAATTTACAATTTACGGAAATCGGAAGAATAATTATTACTATCAATGTGCAATATATTATCAACAAGACATGACCAAATGTACAAATTACATTGACGACGATCACAATTGTCCTGTTTTCAATTGCATTGTCCGTGCACGTCCGTGGTGCCCGTGACCATAGATTTTCTGCTACTTAAAATTGCACCGCAACATTGTCTGCACAAATAATTACCATTTGCGGTTGCGGGGATCAATGCAGACCGTTTAATAATGGCTTGTTTGAACGTGCTGAAACAGGAGATCAAAGTACTGGAGTCGACATTCCCAAAAAACCATGATCGTTTTCAAGTACACACTGCCACTGTTGATGAGGTGATATGCAGATTTGTCGGACCTACCGGTCGTCAGTTTGAAATTATCGGCAACATCACGGTATGTAGTATGCTCTAATCAGTTAATTGCATTGAACGTATAATGTATTCAATCAAATTATCTATCCCTAAAATATTTTATTTAGGAAACGTATCCGGGAACACCTCCGGTATGGTTTGCCGATACTGATGACTGTAAAGTGACCAATGCTATTGAAAAACTAGGCCAAACATCCGGACTCGATAATCATGTATGTACTTTATAATATAATAATATTACAATGCATATTATTTGGGCAACATATCAAAATACATTTATGTAATTGAAAAATGTATTTAAATGATCCTGTATAATTTGTTCACTAAACATGCTTGCAGTTTGTATGAGTACATTTTAGAAGTAGGTAGCGCATTTGTTTTAATACAATAATTTAATTTATACCTAAATAGTAAATATACAATAACAATGTAGATATTTAGTTAGTTATTTACCTCTAATTAATATTGTATATAATGTTAATTGTTGATATATATTGTATCACTTCAACATTTCAAAATTACATACATTTGATAATAATTGTTAAGTATAGTATTATTAATATAATATTATTTAAATATATGCTAAACAATTTGATTTTTCCATTATAGAAATCTTATTGAAAAGTTTAATGTATAAAATTATAAAATTGCATCGAAGCCAAAAAATTATACACTTTATCTGTTTTTGTTGATATTTCTTATAGCTTTATTTTTATTAATTGCTTAAAACTTATTTTTTTCTGTTTTTAATTACTTTAATCAAACATTTAATAACAGTATCTAAAATATCAGATAATTTACTTTTTATAATATTGTTTATTAAGTGCGATCAAAATTTTAGGACTATTAACTAAAGAAAAATTGTGAAAAATGTTTTAAATAAATTGAATCAAAAAATTTGAGGATTGTGCCATCCTCTTAGAATGAACCAATTGAAATAAATTTAACACATTGTTCTAAATTAAATTTTATCCTAATTAAATGGTTGATATTATGTTAGAGCTATAATTTATGTCATTAAAATTTTAATTATTATTTGATTAATTTGTTATAAATAGGTAATTAACCAAGTTGGTATATTAATCAGTGAACTTTGCCGTACATATTGTTTATCTGAGCCGTCCGAACTTCAAAGACTGATACAAATGCCCTGTAATTCAGGGGCATCAACTTCAACTTCGTGTTCTAGTAAATTAACAGATGAAGAAGATGATGACGATGAAGACGAAGAAGAAGTCGAGGAATATATACAATTAGAAATGGAAGAACCCACTGCCGAGTCTACCAAAAAACAGGTTAATAACTTATATATTATTATTTAATATAGTCTTTAGTTCCTCGAAAATATTAAGTCATTCAAAATTTGGTACTTTTAACTTCAGGTTGATGATATGGAAGTTCAACACTTGGAGACTCTAGAAAGGCTACGCCAAAATCAAAGGCAAGATTATTTAAAAGGAGCTGTTACTGGATCTGTTCAAGCTACTGATCGTCTAATGAAAGAACTCAGAGATATTTACAGATCTGATAGTTTTAAGAAAGGTATTTTGTTTTTACTAAGTTTATCAATAACTAAATTACCTGTTTGATTTTGTTGTAATATTTTAATAGGCATGTATAGTGTGGATCTTGTGTGTGACAGTATTTATGAATGGAACATCAAGTTGATGACTGTTGATCCAGACTCAGCTTTGTATCACGATTTACAAAAGCTTAAGGAGAAAGAAGGAAAAGACTTTGTACTATTGAACATTACGTTCAAAGAGACGTACCCTTTTGAACCACCATTTGTACGCGTAGTTCATCCTATAATACAAGGCGGCTATGTGCTAGTTGGTGGAGCTATTTGTATGGAATTACTTACTAAACAAGGTTGGAGTTCAGCTTATACTGTTGAAGCAGTAATTATGCAAATTGCAGCCACTCTGGTCAAAGGGAAAGCTAGAATTCAGTTTGGTGTACCAAAATCAATGAACCAGGTATCCCATGCAACAAACCCAATAGTATGTTTCATTATATTTTTCATAAATAGCATTAAAAATGCATAAATAATACATATAATATTGTTTAGATAGATTATTACTTAGTTTATAACGGTTAACTTCAATCACAAATAAGAACCAATAAACTATGTAATTCTCTTTGGGTAGAAATATTGCTTATTAGTCTTCCAACTACTGTATTAATGTGTAGTTGTATCAATAGACATGTTATCGACTCTTAGTTACATTTAAATCTTGCTTCTGGGTAGAAAAATATTAAAAAGTTCATCGATTAATTTCTCTGAACTGTAGGTGCTTACAATTTTCTGTTTAATATTTCACAGAATTGAATAATCAATTTAATGCTTTGATATATCGGTACTTCACTATAGATTTGATATAATATTAACAACGCAATTTATGTCTTTAGGGTCAATATTCATTAGCCAGGGCACAGCAATCTTTCAAATCTCTTGTGCAAATACATGAAAAAAATGGTAAGTTTTTAGTTTTTTGTTTGTTATATTAACACTAAAACTAGCTCATCTAAAAATATACAAAAAATTACACTGCAATTTAAATTGTGTACGTTTTTTAGTTTTTATTAAATTCTATAACATTCATTTTTAACAAGTAAAAAAAATATCGCTCACCTATTTGTTTAAAAGTTTACCTTTTATTAAAGTTCTATAATATAACATACATAACTGTATTATTTTTTATCAGCAATTTAAGAGGGTTCCCTATTTATTAAAAGGTTTGGTTATTAAACAATTTTATAAAAGAGCATAGAAATAACCTTTCAATAATATGTTTAAATAGTTATAGTGTAGTATACTAGCAAAAATATGACCTTCATTGAACACATTTTGTTTTTATCTATATATAGTATTTCAGTTGAAAAATAGAAATAAAAATTATATTGGCGCTTACATTCTATTAATTGATTTTTGTATTTGTTAGTTTTGGTCCAAGCCCAAAATATTATTAATGTATCATAATATGTTACTTATGACCTAATACAACTCTTAGCTATTAATAAATTTGTAATGTTTTCGCTTAGTCTAAATCACAATAATTCAAAAAATATTATTGTAAGTATGTGGGAATAATCAATAATCAAAAGAGAATAATGTCGTTTGTGTCTTAAAATCAAATGGTCGTTTTGACAATAAACGTTGCTTAATCAATAAACTTGCAGTTTTGCTGTCAGTGTATTCAAATAATATTTTATGGTCTTTTTTATTCATACAGAACATATTGAACATATTTATCAGTTGGACCGTTTTATAAAAAAAAAAATGTATTGATTATAAACATGATTTTAACTTACTTTTTTTATTGTTTTTAGTTACATTTTGATTAAATTTAATTCTTTTTATTTTAGGTTGGTTTACACCCCCGAAAGAAGATGGTTAATATGCTGCTAACCTCAAGCCACAAAAAATAACAATTCATTCCTTAACGAAAAAGAAATATAAATTGCGTCTCATTTGTAAAAAGTATACATTTTGTTTACAGTATAATATTTAAGTTTATTTCTTTATTATTTCTATTTTTTTTTTTTAAATAAGTGAATATCTAACCCTGCGATTGGGCTCGTGATGTGTTGTACAAATATATCTCTAAAGTAATTTGGTTCTAATATTACAGCAATTTAAAAGTGTTGATTTTATGGATTTATTTAACGTTTCAATTACACAAACCTATATGGTATTTTTTTTCTGTGATTTCTTTGATATTATGGGTTTCAATCATCGTTTATTTTGTTTTTAATGTGTGAATAAGTGACTCATGTTTTATGTTACGTATAGGTAATGTGCATTAATATTCACTTATTTAACTTAGAATCATAAGCAAAACACCAGATAAAAAAACAATTATATAGATATATATTTTTTATGTTGCAATGCTCAAATAAATCTACCCTAACTGCTTACAGATTTTTGTATAATGAGTCAACACTTGCAGTTAATTAGTACTTATTAGTTAGTTACAAAAGTGTATGTAATTTTGGAAATCAGTTTTCGAACTGAGATTTTAATGTAATGTTAACTTTGCGTGTGTAAATTATTAAGCTTAATATCATTTTTTAACAATGAAATTGTAAAGCTGTATTTACCAATGTGTTGAATAAGCAAATTATTTTATACAAAATATAATGTAATATAAACATTTTTATTATTTACATCAATTGTACATCAACAATACTCTCCACAATCAGTGCTAATAAGAAAGATACATTATTTTTTTTTACTCTGTCTGTTGTCTGTTGTGTTGAAATATATTTATGTACACATGTATTAATTACTACTAATATTAAGAGACTGTTCATTTATTTTTATCATTTATATAGCTGTAATTATAGTATTATGATTTATCACTATCTATAAATATATAAAACGTAAACCTTTTTATTTAAGAACACGGTTATCCATTATTGATCTTTCCTATTTACAACATGTATTATACAACTCACAGTATTACGAATGAAGTATTTGGTTTATTTCGATTTGTAACAGGCTAATTTTATAAACAGGTTCAGCGCCATAAGACACAGGAGTCCGTTATAGTTTTATCTTAATGTGTCTGCCGAGGCTTTGAACCTGTTAAACTTTTCATTAGTAATCATTAATTTTAATTATACACAATAACAATCTTAATACCTAAATCAGTCTACCATCTTGAGTCATAAAAAATAACCTTTTTTTTTTTTATTTAAAAACCAACTAATATATAGATAATAATATGATACATTAAACAAATTTAAAACAAGTTTATAATTCTAGTAATGATGTTCGGACGTATCAAAAGTGGGGTTTCCAATACAACGAAGAATGTTTTCCCCTGTAAAAAATTATACTTTAACATTAGTTTTTTTTTTTTGCTTATGGATCGATTGTTGATAAATATGTTATACCGAGTTGTCTAATTAAAGCCATTGTTTCCTGATGCCTGCGCTCTTCAGCTACTTCTCTGTTGGCTGCAATTTTCAGTAATGTCTTCTCTTTTTGGTCAGCGATTTCTTTTAGAGTCCTCGTTAACTCTGTTTCTTGTCTGGTTTCTAATTCTTCGAATTGACATTTTGGAGGAGTTCCAGTTTTCTTTATGACGTTCCTGTACATTTGTTTGGCTTCTAAATGAGAATTTTGTTCGTATTCACCGGAATCTGTTGGATAATTATTATACCAGTAAGTATTAAAATATAAAGTAACCACTATAACAAATGATTAATAGAGTTAAGGCTGTTTCACACCTAACGAATATGGTATGTGCGCTTATCATACACCTATATGTGAAACGTTATATTTGATTAAATATTTTCATATGTGGCATGTTAACAGCAGCTGCAAATGGGTCTTAAACACAAATAAATAATCTACCTTTTTTTTTTGGAAAATTATTTACAATTGTATAGAACCATTTTCTTTAAAAATAACAAAATTAGCTAAACTAACATGACCGTATTTATGTGTAAATGAAAAGTTTTTCAAAAAGATTGTATACAAAATTTGGGAGCTTCAATGAGAAACTTATGTTGAGACTCATCCGTTAGTGTGTAAATTGTCATTATTCAGTAATTGTAGAGTGGCTCTATCCCCAATGTAAATGATTTGGTGTTTTAGTAAACTAAGTTAACTTTTAGTTTTACACCAAATCTAAATATTCACAACATTAAATTTGATTACCGTCTATTAATTTAATATCACATAAAGAGTTTAAGTTTGGAATTTGAAAAGAAGAGTTTGAATTTTCTTCTTTAAACTCATCAATGGAGGTTGCAATATCGAGTTTAATGTGTTTCCTCCGCATGATAGTTTTGTACCTGAAAAATGTATAAATTTATTATACAATGTACATTAGATTAAAGTTGAATACTTAAATATTAGTAACTTGTACATAACTGTACCTTAATTCTCACCTATTAATACACTGTTCAGCACTTCTGGTAATATGAAGCATGTCACTCAATGATTTTGATATAAATTCAAACATTTTAAGTTTCGTTCTAAAAGTCCTGTGTAAGCCAACTTTAGATATATTTTTTTTGTACAAGTCCATGAGCAGTCTGGTATCCTCAACACCCCATTCATTGGAAATGAATTTAGTAATGTTTAAACCTATATTAATTGATCAGAGGAAATGATGAAATATAACTCATTATTTATGTTATTGAATGTTCTGGTATTGTACCTTCCATGGACAAATTTTTTCCATTATAGTCATGATCGGCAGATACGGATGCTGTAGCGGCGTTTAAAGATTTTTCGTTTTCATCTAATATTTTTGGTGTGTTGGTCGTCTTCTTTCCTAGTAAAACCCTATCAAAATATCCGCTTTTCCGTTGATTTACTACAGTTTTGTACCTAGAAATTATAAGCATGATGTAAAGTATTGATTAAAAAAAAATTTTCATTTTTTGGATTTATATGAAGATGTAGTAGGTACTTATTATTGCTATTAAAAAATTGAAACCAAGCAAATTTTATGTAGATGCTGTTTTAGTTGAATTTTGAAAAAGCGAAGGCTTGTTTAATGGTTTGTATTTACCTGTTTTCACATTGATGAGCACTTCTGGTAATGTTGAGTCTTTCAGATAATGACTGTGCAATAAAACCAAACATTTCTTTTTTACTTTTAAACTTTTTGGTTGGGCCAACCTGTGTTGAATTTCGTCTGTACATGTCCATAAGAATTTTGGTTTCAAATTGGCTCCATTCTCGCCATGTCCTTATACCTAACAAAATGTATAATTGTTGTTGGTTACAAAATAATAAATAATTACTAAACATATTAAAATTGCCTAGTAGTTTTTGAATATCCCACATAAAATGAATAAAAGTAATAAAAAAATCCTATTTACTCAATGAGAAATGAATGAAAACAGACAATTAGATTGAGACACGCAAAGTTATACTTTTTTATTTGTAAAACCAAATACAAAAATGGTTTAAAGGTAGAAGGATATATGGGCTAACATTATATTAAAGTCATTCAAATTAAAAATTCTTTAACATTTAAACAAATAAATTCTTACGAGATTCTGGAAGGACAGTTTTATTTTCTGTTTGATCCCTTTGATGATCATCATTTTGGTAAGATTCAAATGGTTGTTCTATTACGAAAATATCATCAGAATCTGTAAAGTTGTAAAAATTTGAGTTTTTGGTTTTGAAAACGTTTAGAATGTTGATTATGTTTACCGATTACTGAATCTTGTGTTCCCAGATTTCCATTGTAAAGAAAATAAGTCTCCATAACTGTCGTGTAAATTGTATTTGACTGTTTCAGTATTAAATCATACTAATAAGTCTCAATAGTTACTAATAGGAAAAATCTAACAATTTTAAATTGCCACTTACCACCGACGAAAAACTTAAGAATTAAGTCTCATCAATCATAATATTATTAATTCATAATAATATAATGTTATTCCACATTTGAGATAAATGTTTGATACCATTTAATCAAGTTGTTATCTGTTTAGACAGAATAACACGAAGATCCAAGGAGAATGTACATTTAATCCTTTGATATCAGTTTGTGGAATTTTTTTCTCACATATTTGAGGTTACATATGAAAAACGTTGCGTTTCCATTCCTTATCAGCGGTTTCGGTATCCTTATATTTTCCTTGTATAAATTATTACATTACATTACTCAAATTCTGTTTTTGTTATTTTTTTGTTTTTTCCTTTTCTTCTTTCTCTCTTCTTTTTTTTCTCAACTTAATTATTCATTTCAAGTCCTACTTCTGACGTTTTACTAACACGATCATGAGTAAACTTTTATTTGTACGCAACATTCGTGGCCTAGATGAACCATCACTTCGGCAGATAATTAATAGCAAAAATTTGCCGTGTGGCACCATTATGTTCAAGTCCGGTGGAGCATGTGCCACAGTGGATTTTATGGATCCACCCACAGCCGAGTATGCATTGTCAGTATTGAATGGTAAGTAAATTCTACATAATATATTTTGTAATAAATATTAATATCTATTTGTGGTAGGTGTAGGCAATGTAGTCGAATGATTGTAATATATTTTACAGGTATGCCACTTAGAGATAGTACACTTGTAGCAGAACCGTATAATGGGCTGCATAGTCAAATGATAAAAAAAGCAAGGTTAGTAATTCTACTTCTTTAATAGAACCTCGATGTATAACTATTATTATTGTGATGATGATTCTGAAGTATAATTTATGCCATGCTTGTAAAATATTGAAATCTTTTCTGTGCTATTATATTGGAACACCTAAATTCAGGAAATACTATGATATATTACGATTACATACCTATTTAACATGTTTAAAAAGTTTTTCAATAATAATAACTTGGTGTGAGAGGCAGTACTAGTGATGTAAGCACTATCCCTTTCAAACTTTTGTATTTCTTTTTGTTATGTTGGCTGAAAACATTGTTTATTAAAGAAAATAATATACTTTATATTACTTCATTTTTCTTAGGCATTAGTTATCCAATGTAATTAAGTTTTTTTAAATCAATACCAGATACCAAGTTGCTCATCAAAATTCTACATTTATGAACGTACAACTTGATTATTGATTGTTATAGTTTGAATTACTGTGATATTCACTTATTCATATTCTATTATACGTTATTGTTATTATTATAACAACTCGATGTAACATAATATATTATATTTGAATTTATATCTGTTGATCAACTAATATAGTTTTTTGGTTGATTGATCATTGATATTGGTATGTAAATGTTAAATGGAATTATATAATTTCCCAAGTTAAATACAGTTTAGATTTTGCACTCATAGATAACAACAATATTTATTTATGACACAATTCAATGTCTTATTTCAATTTACATCTAGTACCTTATCACTAAATATAAATTTGAAGTCAGTTTTTGTTTAATTAAAATAATAAGTTTAAAAAAAAATTAAATATTGTTAATATACATATATATATATATATATATATATATATATATAAATTATATATTATATATTATATAAATGCTATAATTGATAATATATATAATTGATTTTATAACATTATATATTTAATTACATATGTAGATAGTTAAAACTAGTTAAATAATATAAAGCGATATTTATTTTCTTTGACTGATGTGATGCTGAAGTTATTTTAAAAAGAAAGAAACGACCACCTACTAGTCGAATCCAAAGTCTTAAATTTGTAATTATTTTTTCAGGGGCTAAAACTAGGCAATAGTGTACACAGCAATGAGTGGTTAGTGTTTCGGGGATATGTTTTATATTTAACTTTTTTCAAAATGTTCTATAAATTTAACAAGTAGGACCTACTTATCGACTTCTGATAACAAATAGAAATGATGTCAGCTGTTCATTTAGTTAGTTCTTTGCGTTTGGTTATGATGTTGTTATGAGAAATTCATTAAACTCCTGAAGTTATTTATAAACTAAAATAGTTGGTTCATAAAAGTATTTAATGTAGAATAACATATGGAAAGTAGGTAACCTGTAATATTTAGCTTAAACACTAAAACAAATATAAGAAGTTAAAAATATATTTTTATTAAAAATATAGGTACTATTTTAATCAGGAAATCGTAACTGAACGATAACGTCAAATTTATGTTTGTATATCGCTTACCAGCATAATTTTACAAAATACAATATGACATGTATTTGTTTGTGGTTCGAGGGTGCAAAACTACATACCTACAAAGAAAAATATTCTATATATTTGTTCGAAATCATAGAAACGCAAAGAACAGTACTATTATTTATTATGTTTTTTGGTGGTGAGCGAAAAAAATATAAAACATAAAATTATATTTGTTTGTTTGGGACGTCATATAACCATTATAATTAGGTAATATAAAATATTTTATATTACAAAACTGATGGAAGCTAAACAACTTAAGAGGACGTCATACCCTTTAAAAATAATCGTAAAAACGTGTTTATGAAAAACCGCGTAGGTCAAAGCGAAATGGTCATAGAAAAAAATCGTGTTACTGTTAAAAAGAAATAAACTGTAACTACGTTTTCTCGTCGTTTTTTTTTTTTTTAAAAACTTCAATTTTATCTTAAATACAAGCACTTAAAAATGACAGAATTAAAATATAAATTATAAAATTGGGCTATTAGTATAAATGAAGAAACCGACGAGAGAACCTAGATATAGTTCTCATTATTTAAAAAAAGTAAATTTGCTACCATTATTATTTAGTATTTTTTTTTTTATAAAACCACTGATGCTGTGATAGTCAGAAAAAAAAACTACTAAAAAAAGAATTCTAATTACGGAACTAATAATTTCAGATCACAGTTTAACCTCAAGGTTAAGATTTTACAACAAATTGCCTATACCTAACTCATTAATAAATGATGGTATGATGTCCTCTTAACTCCTGTAGTTAAAACAGTTAGTGTTCAAACTTTATTTACTATAACTTTTTGGCTCTAGAGTACATAAGTATATTATTATACATTTTTTTAATTACATCATCATAATTACATGGGTTTGTCTGGTTGTTTTATGTTTTGCTCCTTGCGATCTCTTGTTCGCAAGCAGTATGCATTATAATTTATTTTACTAAACGTTATGCACGCGAACAGTTGCACATAATATTATTCTAAATATGTTTATCAGTTTATGTTCGCAAACAAATTAATTTATTCATAAGCTTAATGAAGGTTGTAGCATAAAAGAACAAGTTTTTGGATCCTGATTTTTATATCACATTAAAAAAAACGCTTTTTGTTTTATTTTAGTAAGTCAGAAGTAGGTATTACAATTTTATTTTACTGTTAATTTGTTAAAAAACAAAATTGAAATTGTAGAGATTTTGTTGCTGGACGGTTTTTTATTCGGGTAATTTATGTTAGTTATAATGCAATTTATTCACTTACTATTCATTTTAACTTGGGGTAAGTAGTTATAGAATACATACAACTTAAATCAAAATATTACTTTTCGAAGTGAGATAAATCGCATACAATTGTGCTCATTTACAAGACGGTGTCGAATATTGACCATCAAATTACCTATAGTCTAACGTAACAATTGATGATAAGTGATTCAGTGCTGGGTAAATGGAGGGTTTAAGACATGCTACGTTTTGACAGAGACACAAGTTGACACTTAATATTATTCAATGTTCGGTGGCTTCTAATTATGAGTTTTATAACATAAATAGTTTTATGTATGCAGTTGGGCCTCAAAATTGTATTTGCACCTGGCCCCAGGCAGTGTCGGCTTTGGTTCTATGCCCAGGGGAGGGGGCAATATTTTTTGATATGCATAAATTTCATTATTTTGGTTATCTTATCGATATTTGTTTGTACAGGAAAAAAAACGTTAATTACCACTGCAGCTGAATTTATTATTTATCTCATTTAACTCAAACTAACCGAATGGCGACAACGCGTACTGTCAAAAATAAAAATGTAAAATTTCTACGGGGGCATGGCCCCTAGCCCCCCCCCCCCTAAACGGCGCACCTGGTTTCAAAGTGCAGCATGTTTGCTACTAACTGTACAAAGTTGTATATATTTGTAATAAAAAAAATAGACATTTTTATAATAGATAGTATGTAGGGATTTATTTTCAAGAGAGGGACATTATATGGCAAGCATAGCAGCATGGTGGGCTAATAAGTTACGCCGCAAATTCCCATAGTATTACACCACACTTAGCATACTTCAAAACAAGCTGGAATTTTGATCACCTAGCTTTAATGTTATTATTTTTAAAAAATATTTTATTTTATTTTTTTAAAGTACATAATTAATCAAGTCGAGATAAAAAAAAACCACAACTAAACCTAGATAGTGTCATGTTTTTAAATATCTGTAATAGCTATACTTTAAATAAAATCGTTTATAAAAACATTGCACATTCGTTGTGATTAATTAAAAAATTATAAATACTTATAACTTATATGTAAAAAATACACTAAAATATAATTTTTAAAAAAAAATAACATATGTAACACTTTGAAATGTAGTAAGTGTAGCGTTTTTCTAAGGCTGTGGTTTTACTAAGAGTGAAACTAGAACGAAAACCTCGAAGCGGCGGGCCTTAATTTTGTGATGGTATCGTTTTGTAGTAACTGCTGCTGCCTAAAAAGTATCTCCGTGTAAATTCTTCTAAAAATTATCTATGCAGGTAGAGTGTAGTATTATTTTTATCTGTACGCAATTTCACTTCCGGTTAGGTTAACTAACGAACGAAGTCCGACCGCACTTAATTTGTATTGATACTTAGACAAAATGTAGATAGTATTATTTTGTAATTGATTTATAATCTTAAATTAATAATAGTATAATATTTTATTTGGGCATAATTATTATTCGTATCCAAATGACCAAATGAAAATAACAGATTTAATGTTTTATGAGGACGTTAATTTTACATTAAGTTATTTTCCGTTGTCTTTCCTTAATACATATAATTTGTAATAGACGGATAGGCGAGTAACAAAAATTGGCATGTAGCAATGCATGCATTCATACCACTTATACTGCCATTAAAGATGAAGTTGGTTAGTTATCGATTCTATCTAAAATATATAAATTATATCTGTAAAATTATTATCATTGCTTACAATTTATGGTTAATGTTCTGCCAGGGTAGTCTATTTTATTCTTGGACAATTAGATACGAAATGCGTTACGATTTTTAAACTGTTCGTGTTATTCATGTTGAATTTGTTTCCGCCTTGAAAATGTTTATTCTAAATTTAAATACTTATGGGATTCCTATGCAGTGAAGTGTATTTAAATAATCGATAATTTGTTAAAACTTTAAACAAAGTTTTATCGAGCGTAGTATTTATGGATTGACTTATCGTCTCCTGACCAATTTATTACTTATCTCGAATACATTTTACGAAAACATTAAACCATTGACTTGTTGGCTATTTATTTATTTTAAAATAATTTTATCGCAATTGTTATATTGCAGGGCATACATTAAAAACAAAGTTAGTAAAGGGGTTTTAGATGGATTTGACTCGAGTATATTTGAAAAAACTGACTAGGTTGAATTTGGTCTACATACAAGTTATTAACAGGTATTAGATCTGTTAATAACTTGTATGTCAAACCTCGGATGAGAAATGCTAGGAATTCGGTCGCGCTGTTTTTTCTGTAT